CTCTATTAGTTCGTAGTAGACTGGCCGCGTAGTCAAAACGAAAAATGCCTATTACCTCTGTGGAAGCTACCAGAGCCCAGCATACTGACTCCGAGTTAACTGCATGTACATAGTAGTGATGATACATCTTAAACTTTCAGATGTTTAATGTCTAGGTGTATTTTCATGGTTTGATCATGATGCAAAATAAAATGATTGCTTATGCATTAATCTTGTTTATTTTGCAGAAAACATAACTTATTGCAGTCATTTAGTGGAAGAGAAACCAACAAGATCTGGCCTGAAGTCCACAAATTCCTCAGCAAACACATACCACCAGTAAACTAAACATTTTTCAAAAGTGAATGGAGGAACAATGGCCATGGATAGGAGCCTAGAGGGTGGCCATAGAAAGCATAGATCATTTGTATAATTAAGATAATTTCTGTTTGTGTACTGTAAAATTGTGTACTAGCAAGTGAAAGAAATTCTTCTGGTTCCTTTTTGCCTCACTGCTGTTCTTCTTCTTCTTCTTGTTACCAAAAACGTTAAAAGCGTCCAGCGTCGCCGGTTAAGTATGTGTTCTAAAGAACTTAAGGTTGTGATTTTGAATTGCGTCTTGGTATTCAATTTTTATTTTTCCAATTTTAAGAAATGTCATTTTTTTTCAATTATAAGATATTTAAATTTTGTACAAATGAAGATTCTAAATACTTTTTATTTTTGTACAAATACACATCTTAATTATTAAAAAACCCAATATAATAATTTGTGGCTGTACCATATTTAAGCGTGGAGAATGCGCAGACCGGTGCGCAGTCGTTCTTGCTTCAGTATATAAATGACAAATTTTTTTAATATACTTTATAGAAAATCAGGACAAATTTGTGAATTAATATAATCAATAACTGCATACATCTATACAACAGGCAACATGATCACGAGTTTAAAATTCATTAAGTGTATTTTAAAAGGTAGCTTCAGAAAGCAGTGTCGATTGTAGGCCAGCATGATTCCATTGAGGCTGCATTGAGGCAGACTGCCACCGACAGTAAGCAAGCTAGCATCGCATTGTGCTCGAAGAGAGAACTGTAGATTGAATCATGATGGTCATGCGAGTTGGCTTTTTTAGTACAGTTTAGGTTAGTTAAGGTGCAGTTCTACAATAGAGTATTGCTTTTATAAATTAATGAGTGAAGTTTTTTATTTGAAGTTATCTAAATCATGAATTATTTTAACATTATTTCTTAGAATATTGTTAGATCATGAGGATGAAATTACCATTACAGTACTTGTTTGAAAATATTATTGTGAAATCAAATTTTTGGTATTATTATCTATTATTGTTAATCATGTTTCATAATAATTTATCCCTAATCAAGTTGTAATATTTTTAAGTAATTGATTATCAAGGAACTAAGTATGTGTTCCATATTTTAAGAGGGCACAGCTGAATTAAAGGCACCTTCTACAATCAACATACTGATAACAATCAAGTTGTTTTTTTTATAAAGTAATGTGCATTATATACAAGGACAGATGAAGCTGCAATATCAAACTTGTACAGTATTTCTATTTTAAAGAAGTAATTAAAAACACTTTGAATATTAATTATGCTAAATTTAATTGTCAGTAAATAAAAGGAAAACAGATCATGTTAAAACAAATGAATTTGCTTATTTTCAAAAGGAAATTTCAGTATGCCACAGTATATATGGCTCTGATAAGGTTATCGTCATTGTAAATTTTTCTATTATAGATTGTGATAAATAAAACACCTGAATACATAACAATACTGTTTCATTTTTATTATTTTTCATCTATGTTGGTTTTCTGACACATTATAGCACTTTCCCAACAATCTGATTAACATCACTAAGCTGTATTTCAGCTGTAAAAAAAAAAAAAAAAAAATGACAAGCCATCAAAGATGGGCATTGCATAATTGTAATATTCAGTTTTTATAAGGTACACTTGTTTACCTAAGGAAAAATGTTTTCTGGTGCCTAAGTGTTATGCATGTGCTGACATTAAATTCTAATGTAATGTCGTAGATTAAAAAATAACATATATATAAAGAAAGTTCCAATCATGATTCATTTATTATTAATGTGAAGCAGAATACTATATACAAACATAATACATGTAAAATAATACAAAAAGAATAAATATAGCACATATGACCAGTGTCAAACAAAAACGGAAGCAAATAATTACAATTCAGGGGCTGATCCAGCAAGGGGGGAGCCCATGAGGGCCCGTTCCCCTGTCAAGCCAAAAAATAAGAGAAAAATTTGAGTTAAAAAGAGGAAAAAGGAGTGTACCCATGAGTTCATTGGCAATCCAGCATTGGGGTAAAAGGAGAGCTCGATTATTTGCCACTTATTTACACCAACCATGGTGGGGCTGAAGTGGGCGTGGCAGTGAGGACTTCATATGTGGCCCCCCACCCCCCCCGTCAGAACAAACAAATCAAAAGTATGTTTATAATTCAATGTAAGCAGTTTATAAGAAGTTAACATCTTATCTGTAAAACAATTGAAACCGAAGATAGTTGTCGGGTATTTTGTAAGAAAATACAATGATTATACTTTCAGTTTTGACAAACCAAGTGCACTGATTGACAGTTTCAATGTTCATTTTACTTATCATAACACTCAGTAAAAGGATAGTATACTACTGTATACTAAAACGAAGTTTAATCATCAATTTAAAAACAAGTATAATAGCACTAACATATTTTTTTTCTTATTAAAAATAGATAACTATAACCTCACTTCCCTACCCCCTCCCCAATGCTAAGGTGTTATGTCTATGACCACTACTTGTCTACCAACAGTACTTGTTTGAAAATATTATTGTGAAATCAAATTTTTGGTATTATTATCTACTATTGTTAATCATGTTTCATAATAATTTATCCCTAATCAAGTTGTAATATTTTTAAGTAATTGATTATCAAGGAACTAAGTATGTGTTCCATATTTTAAGAGGGCACAGCTGAATTAAAGGCACCTTCTACAATCAACATACTGATAACAATCAAGTTGTTTTTTTTATAAAGTAATGTGCATTATATACAAGGACAGATGAAGCTGCAATATCAAACTTGTATTTCTATTTTAAAGAAGTAATTAAAAACACTTTGAATATTAATTATGCTAAATTTAATTGTCAGTAAATAAAAGGAAAACAGATCATGTTAAAACAAATGAATTTGCTTATTTTCAAAAGGAAATTTCAGTATGCCACAGTATATATGGCTCTGATAAGGTTATCGTCATTGTAAATTTTTCTATTATAGATTGTGATAAATAAAACACCTGAATACATAACAATACTGTTTCATTTTTATTATTTTTCATCTATGTTGGTTTTCTGACACATTATAGCACTTTCCCAACAATCTGATTAACATCACTAAGCTGTATTTCAGCTGTAAAAAAAAAAAAAAAAAAATGACAAGCCATCAAAGATGGGCATTGCATAATTGTAATATTCAGTTTTTATAAGGTACACTTGTTTACCTAAGGAAAAATGTTTTCTGGTGCCTAAGTGTTATGCATGTGCTGACATTAAATTCTAATGTAATGTCGTAGATTAAAAAATAACATATATATAAAGAAAGTTCCAATCATGATTCATTTATTATTAATGTGAAGCAGAATACTATATACAAACATAATACATGTAAAATAATACAAAAAGAATAAATATAGCACATATGAGGCACGTTGTGGCAAAATGGCTAAGTTGTAGCAAAAATTGAAATTCAAGTTATTAGTATTTTCAGATACCTGAGTATGTGATCTTTAAAATGAGGGGTCATTCATTGAAATTGGACATTTCAATCCTAAGTTATTGGAAAGTGAAATTACAGCACTCTTAGAGTCAAGATAAACATGATTTTGAGTAATTGCCTTCCAAAGTTATTTGTGAATACATTGTTTAATAGAATTAACTATCTAAATAACATTAAATAAACGATTTGTTGATCACTTCCAGAACTAATACTTTGGGACATGATTAATAAGACATTAAACTGTTGATCTATAGTAAAAAAAAAATTTGATTTTTGGGCAATTTTTTGAGCTACCATATTTTATAGCTCCTTTACTCAATACTGGTCTGTGCGACAACTTAACCATTTTGCCACGACATGCCTCATATGACCAGTGTCAAACAAAAATGGAAGCAAATAATTACAATTCAGGGGCTGAAATTTGAGTTAAAAAGAGGAAAAAGGAAAAAAGGAGTGTACCCATGAGTTCATTGGCAATCCAGCATTGGGGTAAAAGGAGAGCTCGATTATTTGCCACTTATTTACACCAACCATGGTGGGGCTGAAGTGGGCGTGGCAGCGAGAACTTCATACGTGGCTCCCCCCCCCCCCCGTCAGAAATTCTCTGGATCCGCCCCTGACAATTAAAAACAAACAAATCAAAAGTATGTTTATAATTCAATGTAAGCAGTTTATAAAAAGTTAACATCTTATCTGTAAAACAATTGAAACCGAAGATAGTTGTCGGGTATTTTGTAAGAAAATACAATAATTATACTTTCAGTTTTGACAAACCAAGTGCACTGATTGACAGTTTAAATGTTCATTTTACTTATCATAACACTCAGTAAAAGGATAGTATACTACTGTATACTAAAACGAAGTTTAATCATCAATTTAAAAACAAGTATAATAGCACTAACATATTTTTTTTCTTATTAAAAATAGATAACTATAACCTCACTTCCCTACCCCCTCCCCAATGCTAAGGTGTCATGTCTATGACCACTACTTGTCTACCAACAGGTTTTGTTAATTTATTAAAATACAGTACATGTTCCTTCTAATTAAATATTGTTTAAAAAAAAACACTTCAGGTTCAATTCAAGCATTTATTCAAATTTCACCTGTGACATGTATTAAACTAATGCAGTACTATTAAATTATTAAAATACATTGACATTGTTAAAAAAACTAAATTCCTCTAATTTTTTTTAAAACTTTAATTTAATTTTGTCTATTTGTGAAATAAGCATACACAACTATATTGTAGGTACTGTACTACAAAATATTCACCATTAAAATAAAAATGACAAAATCTTCCTTTTATTTTAACTGTTACATAATACTAGACAAAGCATTAATTGATTAATAGCCATGCATTTTTATGGCACCTTCTACAACAACTGTCTCAATGTGCTTTCAAACCACTAAAAAAATACAAACACACACAAGAAACATGTAGCTAAGTACTAAGACATTTCTAACCAACATACAAAATATGAAGTTGAAATAAATAAAGTTTGTGTTGTTAGAATGGAACAACTCAAACATCACATAAAACATAAATATTATACTTAAATATAATTGAAAATGTGGGTATTTTTCATGAAGACTAAAGATTCTTGTATATTTAGTTTTGTTTTGTCTACATGATAATAATAATGTATTATTTATATCCTGTCACAATCTCTTAATGCTGATAAAATATATAGCAAGAAATATGAACTCATATTTGCATGTTTGTGCTTTGGTTCATGGCTTGGCATATATTTCAATAATAATACTTATACTAAAGATACTTTTATTTACAAATAAGAAATATTAGTTTGTATAAATTTATATTTTGGTTAAACAAAGTAATTATTTCTATAGTTAATTTTTACTAATTTAATTCTTTTTAAATTATAATATAGTTTGAATTAAGTATTCTAGTTAAAATCTGTTAAATATATTTTGCTTTTGGCCCTTTATCTGCAGTGGCTTTCTCATTGAATCTCAATGAATCCTCATTGAAAATGTATTCATTACTTTTTAAGTTGAACATGAATTTGTTATAGAGCAACAAAAACTTGTGCTGATAAATGAAGCCTCTTTATACTGGTTATGAATGTTAATATGGAATTTAAAAAATGTCAAAAAATGTCCATATTATTCTAGTTTGCTATGTTACTCTGGTCTAAGAACGACTGAAGTGAAACTACAATGTTCAGGTCTTTCGGCTGCCAAATTAATAAAAAAAATCCTAATTAAATATATAAACATATACTTATACATTATGTATATGTATATTAAAATCTTATCTACTATTCAAAATCACTTGCAACGAGAACTAAGTTATTTTTGATTGTGCAATATAAATTCAAATTATTAGTATCAAAACTATCATTATTATTCATTATTCCCATGTGACCTAAAATTAGCCAATCAATTGAAAAGTTATCGAAAAGGTGTGACGCATTGTGGCAAATCAAGCATTACAGAGCTTTATATGGATTGACAAACGCAGTCCACCTCAACATAAGATAAGATAATATGTGTCAACTGGTTTGATAGCCAACTGCTGTGGAATGACATGTAAATTTTTCATTTGTGTCAATCTGTTGTTTATTATCAATAAATTGATTTTGCTTGGGCGTAACAAAAAATAATGAAAGACAGTGAGTGAATTAGTGAATGAATAAAAGAAGGAATCATCCTCTCATTAATTTTGGTGACTCTAAAATAGACACATACATATTAACAGGTAGTCAAACAACCAGTCTAAAAGATATCCAAGGAGGCTTAACATAGTATTTTAGAAGTCAGACAATCTACTACCACAACAAGAACAATTATGTGTTGACAATGTGGCACAACTGCATATCCCACATACACCCTCCCACCCACACACACACACACACACCCGCACACAACCACAATCAATTCTGTATTAAACAATACTAAGCACTTCCTCACACATACTTGCATTCATGAACACACACATACACACATTACAAAAACTTTCAAACACAATACAAAACTAGCATCATCACAAACACACACACTACTTAATTTCTCTTACCAACACACGCATTTTAATCTCTCACAAACACTATAAATCACCACAAACATCTCAAACATATAATGCAGCATACAGATAAGGCAGGTTTTTTGTTTCTTTTCTCCAGGCACATCATGCTATTTTAGAGAAGAGTATCTCTTCTGCAATCAAATATAAACATCTTATACGTGTATACTTTGGTAGTCAATCGTATTACAATAGTAGGACGTGTTCACAGGATCGCGGTTAGCTATCAATGGCGTTAGGCGGTCGGTAAAGCGATGGTAGTTGCGTTCAAGTTCTTTCTGGTACTCCTTTTGATCGGACGCTATAAGGGTCTTGTTTTTGCGTAATGCATCACTACACCTGAAGACATATGCATAAAATATACAAAAGATTAAATAATGGAGTTGGTTTATATATCTACTACAACTTTTAAAAGCAATAAAACACAGGAAGAGATTTGTAATTGTTTTCAAATGAGGATAAAATATTAGCTAAATTAAGTCAATATACATCTAAAGAAGTTAATAAATTGCTATACTTTAGAGAATATATAGAATGTAAAACATTACCTTTTTGAGAATTCTTTGAAACAAATGCGCAATTTATTGTGCTCTTTGTCCAGTGGGATTTCAGCAGCTGCCTTATCACCTAGAAACACCTGTGCAACTTCAAATGGACCCTAACAAGAATTGGGGAAAAAAAGAAAAATATCAACTATAGCAATAGCTTTGTTTATTTGCAACCAATCTTCAAGACTAAGAAATTCAGTATTCAAATCTTAACAAAACAGCTAGTTCCAATCAGTGGAGTATCTAGGAGTCTCGAAATGGCAAACAGCTGATGGTTAAATGAACATGAAGGGTGGCTAGCTCGCAAAATAAGGTCATATATAAGGTGATTTTTAATTACTTGAGAATGATTTTTTGCCTCAAGCATTTTCGGTGAGACGCCTGGGGTTGGGGCATGAGTGTTTTTGTTGGGGGGTGGGGTGTCCTATAAAATGTTCATCTTGGTAAAAGGGCTCTATGAAATTGATTAAACTACATTATTACCTGATTAACAGTTGTACCAATACAGCCTTGCAAGACCATCTGAAGGAATTTAGGATCAGGAGGATCTTGAATGGTTGCCTGCGCTAATTCCGTCATCTTCTTCTGCATATCTTCAATAGCAACTTCAATAGGTTTCAGAACAATCTGACAAGTTTTAAACGTATTTACTATTATCATTTTAATGTAACAAAATGTCTTTTGTTCATCATCAAAATTATAAGACTGACTAAAAAATGTCTGCCATTAAAATAGTTTATTCCTCACCATCCTGCCAATAATGATGATGTTGAATAAAAATAAAATTTTACTTTTGGCCAGTTAGCGCACCTGCCGCAAGGAAAAATTGGAAATTTCAGAAAAAAATAAAAGTTTTTCTTTATTTTTATTACGCCCACGACTGCCTTAAAACCGCCAAAGTGTATTTCTTTGTAATTATATAAATTTAAAGCATTTTACCATCCAATTACTACACTGTTTACATTCAGCAATAAAATTTTATTTTTACTTTCTCCTCCGTCTGGATGTTTATGGCAAAACCATTTGCTAATTAAGAAAATAAAATTTTATTCTTATTTTTTCTTAAAAAAAAAAAGGTTTATAAAACAAGGTATAGCAAAAGTCTCGCCTTATTTACAACAACAAATCATAATACCATTACAGTTTATAGGCTTATATAGTTAGTAAATACAACAATAATTGTCTGAATATAAATAAATAAAATAAAGCACAGTCATCATGATTCTATTCATTATTTTGGAAGAATTATCAAAATAATAATTACAGCGCAAAACAATATCCATTAAAAAATAATCATAGGCACAAGTACATAAATATACCTTAAGAGGCAATCCCCCTAAATGTATTCAGACTATACAGAGTAAAGGTTAAAGGTTATTAATATCATGCCAAGTACTTGGGTCTCTATGCACTAATAAACAAGAGATGTAATTAGAAATTCAAAGAGGAAGGGGCTAACAATAACTGGGAGGATTGATGCATTCAATAAGAGAGGGAACTTGAATATAAATTAATTCCTTAGTCTTACCTCTTCTTTGTGTATGATAGTGCAGCGTGTCTTGACGTAGGGAAAAGCATGAGATGTTGTTAGGATCGTTTTGCGCTTATACTGTTCATGCAACTCACCATGAGCACGACCGTCTTCAGTAAATGGTGTTGCAAATACGAAACGTCCTGAAAAAAATGATAGTTTATATTAAAGAACAACAAATTTAGGGCAAACAAAGATTAATTTGAAAAACCCTTAATTTTTGCAATACAGTCAAGAGCTGAACGTTTGGATAATTGGTATGGTTCCTGCCTCTTGCATGCCAGGGCCCAGGTTTGATACCCGGCTCGATGTCGAGTATTGAAATCGGGTCTTTTATAATAACAACAACAATAACTCAGCTCCTCGAATAACCCTCTCAGGAGAGTTAGGCGAATTAAGGACATGTTTGTATCTGTTTGTATCTGTTTGATGTCTATTTAAGGCATTAATTTATAAGTTAGCTACCGGACCTGCTTACAGGCATTGCCTTCTTGGTTTCGGAATTGTACCATAGGTGGTGGAATGAATAAAGTTATTATATTATAGAGTTGATGTGGCAAACTTACGCAAGTTGTAGCTTTTGTCAAAGTGGGTACGTCGGAAGTCGTTTTCGAATGCCTGAAAGTACGGCTCAACGTATGTCACCTGAATGTAAGCTTTAAGAGGATCGAGAGTCCTAACGTCTACCTTACGTGAATCCTTCATCATTACCAAATTTTCCTCTCCAAACCGCTCACCGTAGAAATTCTGAATGGGAAAGCGGAACAAAATAAAAGATATGACTGATAGTATGTTGTTGTGTCTGTCTGTCTGTCTTTAGGTATGTCATGCTGTCTGTCTTCCTGATTGCCTTTTCATGTATTCTACTAACCTGAAGTCTGTGGGCAATTTCAGGCAACTTCGTAATTTTGGGTTCTTTGTAGATAAATTCTTCGCCATCAAGATCCCCAAACTTAGGTCCGTAGTAGCCAACACGAAAGTAAGTGCCAAACATTCTCTTTTTATCCTATTCAAAAGAGAAATGTATATCATCTTAAAAAACCATTCTATACATTACAGTAATTTAACTGATCAAAAACAGATAAGAAAGGATAATACATACTCCAAGTATTGAAATACATACCATCGTATGTCATCATCATTCCTGATGATGACATAATAATTGTTGAAATATTGAATATTAACATGATGGCGTGTATTTCAATACTTGGAGTATATGTATTATATATACTTTCTTAACTGATCAACTGACACCACTACAATGCAGTATATATACTCTTTATGTGTTTAAACAATTATAAATTACTAGTAAGAGAATCTTTTTAAGCAATGAAAAAAATCAATTATTTTTCAGGGTTCAATCTATGATTTTTCAAGGAAAGCACATATAACACCAAACCAAAATTCCAAATTATTAAATCTTGTCGCATTATTTTCCAACTGAATCTCATTTGACCTAAGGTAAAAATTCAGTGAAACATCTGGACTGATCCATTTTATTCAAGGTAAGTGTTGTTTAATAACAAGGTATTTTCAACCATTGTAACTTTAACCCTCAGTTATGACTGTAGTTAATGGGACTTACCAGTTCAACAATCTTGTGAAAGGCATCGCATAGCTTGCTGTGGATGGTTGAGAGTCGGTTGTAATTTCTGTTGTTTTCATGGATAGGTATCAAGACTTTATACACCTCATTAACTACTTCGTAGAATCCACCCTAAATAAATGTTAACAAACAGAATAAATATCATTGTATGGTACTTCCTCCAACTAAAAAGGTATTCTGTTGGGTGTACATTAACCTTTTTTGTAAATTACCTTGAAATTTTAAATCAAGAAATCAAATTAAAAATGAAGTAAAAACCTTGAAAGAAAAATACATAATCCTTAATATTTCCCTGATGGAGAATGACAAATTCGCTTACCTCGGTGAAGAAAGTAGCAGCCTGCTCTAGAAGACCTACCAACCCACTTTCAGTGAAGTATTTTCCAGAGCAAATTCCCTCTTCATCAGGTGATACAACATCATCAGACACTGCACTCTCTTCAAGAACATTTGAAGAGATTTTCTACAAGAAGAAAATCTGATAAATCAGCATGTAACATTTCATTGTACATGGTTGGATTTAAAATCAATAAATGCATCGTCATCATCATCATCATCTGGTTCAGCATGCTCAGATTGCCTGCCTCGGTTTTTGTCACTCATGATCCTGTATTGCATTTAGTAGGATAACAAGAGTAGATTTAGAGTCCGCACAGAGTTGGTAGATTAAAAATAATTAGTACGATGCCTAAATATTTTGCACATACCTCAAATGCTACACAGCCCACAGGCAAGTATGGCCTGTCCTCCTGCATGTGTAGGTACTCAGTGACCAGCCCGGCACAATGAATCAAGCACATGGCTGACTCGACATGGTTGCCCTGCCTCATGTGCTGACCTGCCATGTTCTGAAGCCATGTCAAACGTAGGTCAGGGGAATCTTGGTATCTGATGGTTAAGAAATAGTTATAAAATATAATTCATTGTACATTAGGCAATTAAATGATTCTCTATCGTAATTATAATTATTTTTTTCATTGGAGAATAAATACAAATCCTATGATGCTTTTAACAGTTGGCAAAACCAGACAAAGGTTTGAAATTGGTTCTGTATTGTGTGAAACACACCACGAATGAACTACTAAAGTTGAAAGACCTATTTCTAGTAGAGTTCTTCTATTGGTAAATTAGGCACCAGAAGACTATGACCTCTTCTCTTTAAAACTGTACTACATTTTTAAATATAAAAATAGGCCATATTACTCATGGGACCAATCGCCAAAAGGTGGTAAGTTATTATAACTATTATTTTGGGCCTCCAGCTAAAACACACAGAGAGCAGCGATGAAATTGAAGAAGGTACTGAAGGATTTTTAAAGGGTTTTCATGGTTTGGCGCACACACAGTGGTTACCAGCAGTTCAGCTGACCGAGCTAAGCTGCTCCCTTACATACCCTTTGGCTATTCTGTACATAAGGTCCATAAGCATCTCAGGATCTTCTTTGAACTCTTTCATCTTCACAGTGTCTGACAGAATCATGTGAAGATTGAAGACAAGATTATGCACCTATAAAAGTGTAAAGAAATTTATTAATAAACTCCAATGACCGGGAGTAATAATGTAAAATGCATAGTGGCAATTTAAATTTTGATTTTATTACTATTGTTCAATGAAAAAAATTAAGACATCTTTTCATCACTGTTTTCTATATTTATTATTGCAAAAATAAGTTTTTTTGGGAAATTAAATCCCTCTGAAATGTTAAAACGATTATAATACAAGAATACAAGTTTGCTTCTGGGTTTCTTAACATTTTTTCACAGTACTTTTGGAATTCCCTTCCTACCTGTTCAGGAAAAGTGGTCGCCTTCAGTTCAATATCTTCATCAGCGTACATTAGTATTGTCTTCAATGATTTTCTCAGGTAACCCTCATGGAAATTGGTTACTGTGCCAACCAGGTGGGATAATGACATCGTTACTTGCATTTTCACTCTTGCAAAGTTCTGTTAAAAAAATGCAATGTAGTTAGTAACACATTCAATGTCATTTGTTACAAAAAAGTTCTTCCCTATTTGCCACAAGATTTAAATGCTCCTTTAATTTGCAAATTTCAAATGGTTGTTGAAAGATTTAAGGAGCATCTATTGGTTTAACTTAACTATAGTTTCTTGACAATATTAATGTGAGCTAGCTTCTGCTGTAATTTACAAAATTGAGACAACTATATAAATATAAACCGATTGACTGCTTAATTAATGGAACTTACATTGCCGATTTCAAAATTCTGTCGCATCAGCAGGTAGAGTGAGGCACTGGCATGAGAACGGACAGTATCGATGCAAGAGCTGCAATGCTTCAGGATTCGAAGGCAAAGGTCAGCACACTGTTCTGTCTCATCTTCAAAAAGCAATCCAGGGTACTAAAAATATTACATTAAATATTAGAAGATAAAATGCGCTAAGTGTGTTTGTATTATTCTTGTATTACTTCTTGTGATTTGTGGTGAATTTACAATAAAATATCCCTGTACAGTGAAACGAAACGTAGCAGTACGTATACTTTTACTTGGTTTTAATATTATGAATACTATTATCCCTGTACAGAGATCCCAAATTAGGAGAGGCCACTTAAGGAAAATCTGGTTTAATCAGCTTTTTAACAACATTGTTTAACAACACAACATTATATTTTTTTGTGCACATGGTAATAATCATGACATGCTGAGTTCATAGTGTCAAAGTAGTAAAAAGAAGATGATTTTGCTTGCCCGCATGAGTGCGGGAAATCATGCCACACTCACTTTGAATACTAATGACCTCTGTGTTGCTAAGGCATTCTTAAGCACAACGACACTTTGATTGCACTGTAGCATGTGAAGAAGGACTTGCATTACACTACTCAAAACACCTGACAGGTTCTCTTTGGTTTGGATGGACTACAAAAAACATAAATTTACAACATTAAAAAATATTTATGAGATCTTGTTTATTAAGAAACACTATGAAAGCTTTAATCAAAACATTACCATATTAAAACATAATAAACAAATAAATATCATTTAATTCCTTTTTAAACATTTACATCCATTATTTATTCATTAGATATCAGAATAAGAGTATTGATAAACCTGAATGATGAGCTCCAGAGTGTCCAATATCGTCAGACTGACCTCCGTTGCCAAGCAACCTTCCAACACAGCATCATCTTCAAGCTCAGTCTTTGATTTACTATAAAAGTCATGTTAGATAGAGAACTTAGCAAACAACTTCATAGTCGATGATTCAGGTAAACAATTTTTTGTTAAAGTCAGGCTCTGAAGAGCAATGGTAATGAGATACAGATTTTTTTATTTTTACAAATTGGGCGAAAAAGGTTTGTTTTGTCCCTTTTCCACCAGTATTCATTTACCGTTCCCTTTTTGTGTCAGTCCTACAACATATCAAAACATTTATTTTTTCCTCTGGAGCCTGGCTTTAAAGTTTTACCAATATTTAGTAGCAATTCCAATGGCTGATACAGAATTCTCTTGCTGAGGGGTCAGAGTAGTAGTCAAGGTTAGAGTGGGGTGGGACATATAGTCTGAGGAGGGAAGGTCTGGGGTGTTCCCTTACTTATTATTGTGGAGGTCCACAAAACTATTCCCCCTGAAAGTTCCAGAATTTTAGCCATTTTAATCTCTTATCTGAATGATTTATGTTACCTTTCAAGTATTTCATTTGTTTGCCTGAAATGTGTTAAATCTTTCCTCCATCTGACTCGCTCTGACTGGCCGAGGGCTGGACCAGAGGCAGTTCGGTCTGGAAGAGATAAATGCAGAATAAACAAGATTTACTATTTGCAAATATAATAATTGAGTTCCACATTATCATTAAAAAAAATTAATTATTGGATTTATAGAATTTTATAGCTTTAAAATCTTTATTTAATATCCCATAATCATATTTATAAAAACATTATATTGTAATCCCATGCTGTGCATTTCACTTATGTCCTTAAACAAGGCACTTAATCTGTATATGCTTATGATATATGTTATCATATCATATCACTAGCCTAAAATGTTAGTGTTCTTATCCAAAAAATCGTTGCTCCAACAACCTCCTCTCCAAGTATTAACCAGTCCCAAAATTAACTAACATTGGTGATCTGAAAAAAACATAGTTTCTGAATTAGCTACAGTTATTTATCAAGTAATGTATTTGAAACTCATTGTATTGATTACCTAGGCTGGAGTACATGCCACTTCGCCGCATGATAAACTCGCTTCTAGCACTTGCAGACCCCAGGATTGCATCTTCTAATCTCTGTTTGATATCGTTGGTCTTCTTCATGGATGTTCGCGACAGTTTCTTGATAATTGATGTCTTACCCTAAAAAAAAAACAGAAACATTTTAAATGTTAAATAACGTGTTAGTTTATGAATGTACAATATTAATTGTCCCTGTTGAATGATTTTGATATGAGTATATTCAGAAAATCATTTTACATATACCATTCCATCCAAATTGGAAGAGGGAAAAGAGTGAATATAAATAAATGGAATTTTTATTGATAGCCCAATGAATCCACTCCATTGGGAGTCAAACATAGAATCAATCTATATGGTACATGGTTGTAGCTGTAGAAAACCAAGGGTGGGTGATTGACATTTTAAGGGTGGTGGATAAGTCTAAATAATAAGAGTATTGAGGTATTTTACATTTTGCGCTATATAAATTGACAATTATTATTATTATAAGAGTGGATTTTAAGGATGAAAATGTGTGTTAATAAGGGTGGGTATAGGACCATGATATTAACTTTAGACTGGGTAGAAAAATTCAAGGCTGGGTTGCCCCACCCACCTCTGCCCAGTATAACTACATTCCTGATGATATATAACATTTTAAATTGTATAATTACCAGAACACTTATATATTACTAAAATGGTCATATATATTTTATATAATTATTTACTAGAGAGCCATTCCTTATACAGTATCAGGTTCTGACTGGTTCTTAAGATGAGGGCTCTGATTAGGGCAATACCAGATTCATGTTGTGCATACAATACCTTATACTCAAAGCAACAAGCACAGTAGAAAAGAACATCAAGGACTTGAATGAAACGCTGCACGCCCAGTGCTGACCACCACTTCTGAAGTGAGGCGGCTTCCACGTTCTTCATTACCCACATGGCACACAACAGCAGATCTTTTGTGGACTCTTCTGTCATACGCGTACTCGATGATTGTCTCTGCAAAACAGGAATACAAATAAGAATCCAGTGATGGTAATTAGGTGCAAGTTAAGAATTTGTACTTTTAAGACACCAAAATCATTTGTTTCTAATATTTCCATTCACTATATGCAAGGGCCTAGGCCTAGCATTTCTCGAAAAATCTCAATGTTTAAGGCCAGTATCTTTTGGAGCATTAGCAAACCCATTACGGCAAAATTCTCAGGTTCAACTTTTCAATCAATTTGGTATAGTTTACTTGCATTCCAACCAACATTATTCAACATAAAATATGTGTTTTACAGCAGAAACACTCCAAAGAAGACACACCTATTACCGAGCATCACTCGCGCTGCCTGTTTACAATTGATACCCACGATACGTCACATGACCAACCTAGCGGAATATGTCTATTATAGAAGCCTCTATGCTATGAAAGAGAGTACTTTATAATTTTTGTTTACAAAAAAATAAAAATAAATAAAATTCTTGCTTAACAAATTGATAGAAAAAAAAGTAACTCATGATTAGTTTAAAAATACATTAATTTGAAAGCCAGTCTTTGGAGGAAAAAATAGTTTATATTATGTACAACTCGGAAATGGTTAATGGGATACATAATCTTGAATATTTAAAACTGGGGGAAAAGATGGACAAAAGAGTTGTTATGCCTTATTATTTTCCCTACAGAGACTGGCTTGAACAAGTTAATTCATTTAATTCCTTTATAAAATATCTTTAAACGTTGGAAAATCAATACAAGGCTAATGGCCATGACAAAGAAAACTGTCTTGACCAAACTGGAAAAGTGCAGAGAAAGAGGATAAAATATGGAGCTTTCGATTTGTGCGATGACGTGAAGGAATCACTCATGCGTGACCATCCCATCAGGCATCCTACATTCTCTGCATACGTAGATTTGGCCACATTGCATTCTAGAATCCATGCTACCAGGAGAACTTAACATTCTCGCATGCGCAGATGAGTGTAAGTGACTTCATTACATTCTACGTCCCACCATCGTCGTGCAATCGAAAGATCCCTAAAAGCTTTGTACCTGTACTGAGCCTATTGACGTATCCTCTGCCATTGTTGCCACACTAGTGCCTGCTATTGCCAACGCAACAGATTTATTGATGCCCAACCCAACACTGTCATCATCCTCCTCGGCCATTCCAAACATGAAAGACGGTCGTTGTTTTGGATTAGCATTGGTACAGTTGAATTGTGGGATGGCATCCATGATAATGTCCAGTAGTGGGAGGTAGAGTGAGGCAACACGCATACGTGTCGTGACATCTTTGTAACGAGGATCACAATCATGTGAGGCAAGAAGGTTGGCAACGATGTCTATTGCTTGACGATGATTATTATTATTGCTGTAAGATAAAAAAATTAATTATAATTATTAATTCAAAATAAATCATCATTGATAGCACTTATATATTCACAACAATATTTATCCAAGGTGGTCTAATCAGTCAAAAAGACTGGTCGCCCTTGAGGCCCTGGGAACACAGTTAGAATTTAAATTGAAATAAAGAGACAAGAAACATCAGAGTAAAAAACAATGTAGGAAAAAAAAGATATAGGTCTCCTTCCAATTAAAGACCACCTCCAACTAAAGACCACTTTCTGTGTTCTCAACTTAACAAATGTCGTTATCGCTATTATTCTAATTAGAGACCAAAGCTGGTAAAGACATGGAAACCCTGGTCCCAGTAGGGGGAGACTAGTAATAACAAAAATCAAATATCTATAATATGCTTTACATTAAATATGAGAGCAAGTGCAGCCTGGTGGTTAAAATAATTGTCCCCAATCTCAGATTCCCGGGTGAAAAAAAAAAATTCAAAATTCCCCAAGCCACTTACTTGGTTAACAGCATCGCCGACAGGTCTGACAAAACAAGCCCTGTCAGGAAATGACGTTGTCGGAACTCGTAAGAAAGTTCGGCTTTCGTGTTACTATGCATGTCTCCAAAAGGAAAGAAAGAAGACACCGAGCAGAAAGATAAGGTACTTGCGATGGAGAGTGTTGGAGAGGGTGGGGCTGTGATGAGGGAGGGGCAGAGCGGGAGGTTGAGGGTGACGTAGTGTTCATGGCTGCATACTATACGCAAGAATTCAAGCTTAATCTGCGCTAGGGGAGTTGGATCTGTCAATGTAACCAATCTCTCAGCAAGCTAAAAAAAAAAAAACCAAAAACATAAAAATTAATTAAAAAGCAAATAAATTTTGCACAACATTTAAACATATTTGACATAATCATGCCTATATATTTTCTGTGATATGACATCATTAAGCCCATATATGACATGATAAACAACCTCAAAAATTCAATCAAAACATTAAATAAATAAATTGAAAATGATTAAATTAGTTATTTACAATGTAACACAGATCAAACCCAATATGTTTTCCCTGATTTACAGACCTTTCACTACAAAAATCTATAAATTGATTACTAGGAACTTCAATATTCATATGTCATTTATTAGGGAAAGGAGCAGCAGAGTATAGGTAAGTGGAACGTATCACTTCAGTGATTGCGGCTGATACAAACGTGTATATTCCACTAAATAATGGAATAAAAATATAATTAACTGGCCATATTAATCATTAAAATAAGTCAATACATGATAAATAAGGGGTGTCTACATCCATTGACATTTTAGCATGTATTGTATAATGCATTTTTTACCATATTCTTTACCAGTATGCCTATCTTACCTGCTTTAATATTACGAACAAATTTATTATTGGTTCATGTTCTTATTTTAAAGGTAATTTGACTTTCATTTGCTAAGGTCTTTCTAAAATTATAGTTAAAGACGTAGCAGTATTCAATATTATGCTTTAGAATATTCTGTTACATGTGAAATTTGGATTTTTCGTAGCGGTGATGGTCATTTATGAGAATAATTTTTAGGCTAACATTATTGTTAGCTTTTAAGTCTCTTGAAAGATGGGAGAGTGACAAGACAGAAGACGGTTCGAAAGCTCATTTAAACTTATGTTATTCATACATGAGTTTCTTTCTTTCTGCACCCCCTCATGCAAATATCTAGACCCACCCCAGTACTTCACAGTCTCGCGAAAGGTGCCTTTTTGAGAGTAATTTGAATGCTAATAATTTAGTTTACTTAACAAACTAGACAATTTTGAGCCAAACTCAGGAGAAAAAAGTAGTTTCACCAGTTTTAAAATATCTAGACCCACCCCAGTACTTCACAGCCTCGCGAAAGGTGCCTTTTTGAGAGTAATTTGAATGCTAATAATTTAGTTTACTTAACAAAGTAGACAATTTCGAGCCAAGCTCAGGAGAAAAAAAGTAGTTTCCCCAGTTTTAAAATATGAAAAATATTTATCTTATCAAACATTTCCAAGTATTTCACCAAACACCCCATCAATGTCTTAAAGGAATTATTTTTTTTCTCCAGAGCCTGACTTTAATATTGAATTTTACAGATGGAATAGTAAGTTAACTTCCAATTGAAAAAAAAAAAAAATTCTACCCACCATTTTACAATAACACTGAATCTGCTTGAAGACAAATCCTCTGTCCATCAGTGTAAAGAGATCTTGCAGGAAAAATGCCAGATGAACATTCAACAGACCCATGGCCCTTGTTTCCTAATAACAAACACAAAATAATACAGTAAAAATATTTCCCAAGTTCTGTCTAGCTAGTAAAAATCTATAAATATTATTCTCTTGCAATTTTAAGCCCCATTCCCGGCACAATTTCAGTTGTTAAGAAAAATTTGATTTTTATATTTTATAAAGATTTATAAATATAATATTAAACTGCTAGTTTAACTGAACTTAGAAATTCCTAAACATGAAAAATAAGAGTAAAATAAGAATATTCACTTGTACAAAATTAAAATGTCTTAAAATTGAAAAAGAATGTAATGTCTTCAAATAAAAAAAAATAAAAAAATAAAAATTGAATACCAAGACGCGATTCGAACTCACGATATTTATTTCAAGAGAACACATTGTTAACCGACCACGCCATCTATACAACGTGTCCTATTATTGGTAAATACAGTCCTTTGTATTGGTGATGGCTATTAATTAACAGAGGCCGTAGAGTATATTGGCCCCAATGGTTGCCCATACAAAAAAAGATCTATTAATTAATCAATCAGCAGGGTACTCCTAGAGCTACACATAGGAGCTCAAAAGCAGAGATTGGTGGATTTAGTTCATGGACCTGGGTCATAATCCGTATACCGACTAAGCAATTAAAAATACTTATCCCTGAAAGGCGGATCAATACCTTTGTATGTCTTGCAAGGACCTCTGTAGCGACCATTACAACAATGGCTTCAATATCAGAATCAAAACTGTCAGAAAAACGTTCCTTTCGTGGGACATCCTTCAGTTGATACTCCTCTGAGTAATAAAATTGAGCCATGCTTTTAACCTGAAACAAATTATAAAAATAATCATAATATAATGTGTGATTATAAAAAAAAATAGTCCGATAAAGGCTCTGCGACCATAGCTGGATTGAAATGAAACTTTACGCGGAAATAAAGATTGTTGTAGGAACCTACATTACAGATGTTTTTCACGATTACGTTTCTGAAAAAAAGAAATGTTTTTTCTACTGAAGTTTGATTGCTGCCATTACTGACATCTACAATATTGGGATTGTTTGGGTACTGTAGCACTGCTACAGCTAGTGCGATTGTGGGACTATAGATTGCTTCATGACTCCTTCCTCTCTCATTGCATCAAAAGGAGTCTTTGCTTGTCGTATACCAGTAATACTTACTAGTAACAACTTACATTAAGTATTCAAAATAATGTGTATGGTGCATGCTTATTAAACTTTTTAATTAAAAAAAAGGAAAGGTAATATTTTCTACAAACATTCAAGAAAAACTTGATGTTTATATATATTTGAACTCTAATAAAAACATTAATTAAATAAAATTAATTGAATAAATGTCATATCAGTGATTGATTGATTGATAGATTGATTGATTGATTGCTTGTACAATGTGCTTACCATAAGATCCAAGAAAAACCAAGTATGCTAGTCATATTATTTGTACAGGTTAGTTTATCTTTGAGGCTGATTTTCTCAAAATGTGGTTCTTATACACCTAAACTTTAAATGCTCACATCTCTGGATTTACTTATAGTAGGGAAGCCATTCAAAGACCAAATGAAAGCTTATAATGTGATCTACCCAAATATAATATAAACTCAATTTTTAAATTTCTAACCATGACTCATTTTGTGGCGAGACCTCACATTTGTATTTTTGATTGTGGGGTTTTTGAATAAAGATACCGATATATAAGTCTGAGAGTGCCATTTCCGGCCATCTAGACGTGCCCTAATCATAACTTTTTAACAAACACGGAGCTGAGCTGGGTGGACCCTCTACTTGTGAAAGTCCCTCCCTGTACCCTCTCTATTTTTAATTCCTGGATCTACCACTGTTCTTTAATTAAATAAATGTCATATCAGTGATTGACTGATAGATTGATTGATTGATTGATTGTACAATGTGCTTACCATAAGATCCAAGAAAAACCAAGTATGCTTGAGAGCGAAGTCCTTGGATCTGCCATTGCAGATGCCTAGCTGGAGAGCCAACTGTTCATGGACCAACTGGAAAACAAACAAAATATAACAAAAGTAATTACTTAGTTACTGTATTTTATTAAAATACAGGTTGCTGTATCTTTAACAGAGGTATAACAAAGATGCATGAGGCCCCTGGCTAAAGGCTTTTTTTTGGGCCCTACTATACCCTGAGGCTGGTTTTAGAACTAAGTGGAGTATGGGCAAAGCTACATTCCACTAATACATTCCACTAATTAAAGAGGCTGATTGAGGCCAAAAAAAAATAAAAAATACGCTCCCAGCGGGAGCGCGTGTCTACTGCCAAATTTAATAGAAACGGTGCTTTTTATTATTATCTGAGCTTTCCAATTTGTGCAGACTCACTGATGATTGATATTGTTAATAAGCTAGCCTCAACTCCAAAACCACAAAGTTCGGTAGAAAAAAAAAAAAAAAATTGGCTAGCAATGCATCGTACCACACATGACCGAGTTTACGGTTAGTAGTAAAATCACGTCATATCACACATCCCGAATGTGACATAATGTCAACTTTAAACTTCCGGATTGACCAAGATAGCAAAGTGTCTACTGCTTGAGGGCAGTAGACAGAAAAAAATACAGCTGAATGTCCTGAGCCCCCTTAGTGGGGGTTCACAGCTGTTAGGCCACTTGTCTCCATCATGGTTAATCAAAATATAAAAATGAAGGAACAGTATTAGGAATACGACACAATTAAGAAAGACAAAATTTAAATAATCTTTTTTTTTTTAATTTTTTTATAAAAGGTGATTCGCCACTTACAAAAAAATTGAATTGAATGTGTTAGTTAAATAAACCACCAAAATCCAGTCATTAAAATTGTCCATCTCAACAAATACAATAACAAATTTTAATTATAGAGGGAACACAAACATTGGTCTTGACCATTTTGTTTTCTTTTCTCTAAATAACTTTGTAATTTGTAATTAATAATAATAATAATTCTAGATTTATATAGTGCCTCACGTTGACACAACCTTGAGGCGCTTAACACCAACATAGAAGAAAAAAAACCAAAACAAGTGTGCAGATGTACCAAAAATTAATGTAATTCTCACAAAAAAATCATCAATATATTATATATATATACATATGCACACACACAGAATATAAGCATTTGTATTTGATTTTGAAAGATTATGAAATTGACAAATCATTTTCCTCACCTTTCGTGGAGGAGAGCGCCCTCCTAATCCCCGTACGGGAACATTACCCATTCCTGTTTCAGCATTCTGCTGTACAGCTTTTGCTGAACCATAACGATCAGGGGAGATTTTAGTGTGCATAATACCGCTGACCTCGTCATCGGGTGACTGTGGCACACTGCTTATGCCTCCGTAGGTGTTGCGGTTCCCAGTCGATGACTTTAAGGTCATACTGTGAGACTTCTTCAAGCTGCTGTAACTGCCTGATGGAGACATCCCTATGTATGCATTTTTAAAAAATTCTTATTTGTTTTAAGAAATGAATTACACTACAATATCAATTTTTGAGATTTTTTTAATTGATTTTTTGGGTGGCACTATATTTTCAGTGGGACTAAGTTTTTTCAAAATAAAAAAACAAAAAAATGGAAAAATAAATATAAATTAAATTAAAAGTTTTCTTTTTAATCACTTTGGCTTCTTTCCTATTTAATATTATGTTTTAAAAATGTTTTTCTTGTCATTTTGGATGTGTACAGTTTTTAAACGAAATGTTATTAACAAATACCTCAATTCAGCATTTTGCCTGCCACTTGTATTTTTGATTGTGTGGTTTTTGAATAAAGATACCGATATATAAGTCTGAGAGTGCCATTTCCTACCATCTAGACGCGCCCTAATCATAACTTTTTAACAAACACAGAGCTGAGCTGGGTGGACCTTCTACCTGTGAAAGTCCCTCCCTGTACCCCCTCTATTTTTAATTCCTGGATCTACCACTGTTCTTTAATGCTCGAAATATTTTAATATTTATTAATTAATTAATTAATTTTTTTTATTATATTAAAATATCTTTTATCTTTGTTAAGCATGTACAAATTTCCTTTCACTTGTGTTACGGGTCGCTCAGACTCTTTATCTTTACAGAATGATGTTGAGAGCTCTGGACATCTATCAAGTTAAGATTTATTATCTTACCTGCTGGTCTTGGTACATCTTCAGGGGGCTTGAAGACATACTGGATGTAGGCAGCTAGTAGACTGTTACGGCCATGGTTATCCTGACTTTTATCCAGTAGGTTATGTATTCTATCCACAATATAAGCTAAAGACTCAAAACAGTTGGAACTCATGTTCACTGAAAAAAAAAAAGAAGCAAAATAAAGCATAATCAGCTCTCTGGAAAATTATTTGCCAATGCTACAGATAGTAATCAGCGAATATCCAAAGCATGGTCGTTTGACTGCAGATACAAAGGTCTTATATATCCTTGTATCGGCGCAGTCTCTAACAATCCCACCAGATACCCATTTATACTTCTGGGTGGAGAATGCAGATAAAAATACTTTGCTAAAGAACAGAAGTGAAATGCACATTGAGGGATTGAAGTTACAACCAAACCATTCCCGATGTTCCAAACAGCTTTCAACTATAGTATTCTCCATTCATTATATCATAAGCTGTACAATCATTCACATGCTTTGACCTCTGACACAGTTACTACATGTATGAAATAAGAAGCCTGCTAATGTCTATACACGTAACATGCCTACCCAATTGACCGGAAAGAACTGGTGATTTGACCATCATAAGAAAGAGTTTATCCAGAAGCAGATGCAGGAATTGGACCAAGGGCTCCGCAAGAGCCTCAGAGATGGAAAGCACGCTCTTGTTAAGTTCAAACTCCATACGTTCATTTGGGATTGATTTGGGAATGATGCCTGCCTCAATGGAGTGACACAGCCAGAGGAACTGATCCAACTTTTCATCCTATTGAAAAATGCAATCATACTTCTATTACTTCTATTATTCAAAATCACAACACTTTTTGCAAGTATTATTTAACAGAAAATACATCTAATATTAATCATTATTATTAGTCATATTTTTATAAATAGTTAAAGTGCATGTTTCGTTGATGATTGTTAGCATATTCATTATTTTTCCTCAATTTGCTTTTAATAATAATACTTATATAGCACTTAATACCAACAAGGCCTTTAAGTACTTCACATTATTACCAAGAGTCACTGGATCAAGCACATATGGAACACATACTTAGCTGCCGGGAGAATTCCATAACATTGCAGCTGTAATCAGCTTATTTTGCACCTACTAGGTACCCACTTGTACTCTTGGGTGGAGAGGCAACAGCTGGTAAAGTGATTTGCCTAAGGACACAGGCAAAATGCACAGCGAGGGATGGAATCTCCAACCTAAATGTTGAGATGCAGAACCGCAACCACTACACAACTGCTATTAGTACTGGTAGGTTAATATCAATATTTGTTTGTGGTGCTTAGTTTTATGTTTTATTCAAATTAATTTTATATTATTTGCTATAACCTCATTAAAGGATTCTATCTTTGTTTGTTAATTATTTTACATTTGAAAATAAAAATACATATATTAATTATTTAATCTAATAATCTCATAAGTCAATCTTAATTACCAGCTGATGAGGTAATACATATATTTCTCACCTGTGTGTGGATTGCAGAGACTGCCTTCACTGACACATTAAAAATTGCTTTCTGTCCATCAATCCACTTCATGTAAGGTAACTGAGTCTGTAATATACAAGTAAAATAAGGTAATAGGGGTGTTCTGAAAGGAACAGTGGCAATTAGTCAGTTTATCTAGGTAGGTGTTCACAAAATAGATTATGATAGAAAATGACAGATTGAAAGAAACTTACATCTGCAGACAGCATGGAGTAGGCCTTTGGTAGTTTCTCAACGGACACAGGTAAGTGGAAATCACCAGTCTGCAATCTATGATTACGGTAGATTGGTAGCCACTGCAAGAAACATTAAATAGATCAAAACATTTGATAAATCACTAAATACATGTTAAAAATCATTTAATATTAATAATTACTTTTAATTACAAAGTATAATAAATATACTTTGTTTAATTTACACCAAAAATGTATGTTTCCTATTAAAAATAAACACATGTTTATTGATATAAAAAAAATCTAAAGACAGGAAAAACAAGCACTTAATTAGTGAACACAGGACTCTGGGATTCTTAACTACAAAGCTACAGCTCAACCTTCGCCATGCAAGCTGCTCACGTGTCCTTGTTTCTCTCTATCGATAAATACAAATGGATGCTGGCATATGCGGAGAAGCAAACAGATTTTAGGACAGGAGTTTGCAACACCCCTACACCCAACACTATTACACATTACAGCTCAAACGGCATGGAAACAAAAAAGAGGACCTCCAGCCTGTAAGCCCAGAGTAGGGCTTTAGCCCAAAAAAAGAAATAGGCTGTCCAAAATGGAAGACAATGACTTGTCGCATAGCAACAGACGAGGGGCGAGGCCTCGGGCATTGGTGGGTGGTATTTGCTAAAGGTTGACCAGGCCCGACTAGACTAGGCTGAGCTGAGTAGACCAAGTCATACAAGCCAATCACGGTAAAGTGGCCGTCATAAATAATTGTTGGTCTTGTCTTGTGGATGTCTTGCTGGCTAAGAACTTGGCCCAGAGATACAGTTTTGATTTTACCTACTGTGCAGCTCAACACACAATGTAAGATTATATGCATCTAATTGTCTCTGGGATTGGAACTACACTCATTGGTTTAATGCAACTTACAGTGTATCCTATTGGTGTTTCTACTTGTGTGTTATCCTGTTTCTTCTGACAGCTGATATGGTACATTGTAAATAATAGGTGGTTTGAGTCTTCTAGGCTCGGTGGTAGGCGTATTTTGATCTCTTCGTAAAAGTCGGGTGTCTTGTTGTGGTACGTTACAGATGTGTACATTTCATGGACCAACTCAGGGCCGCTTGATTTACCAAAGATACACTACAGACAAAAGTGAATAGCATTTCAACATCATTTTGAAGTAAAATATTTGTAATCTCAATTTAAACAAAAAGATGAATGTTATATTTAAAGCAATCACCTTGAATATGAAAAATGTATCACAAAATGTTTTTTAAATTTTAGATTGTTAATGACAACTGTCAAAGCTCGAACAGAAGCCCTATGAGGCTTAATCTTGAGAAGCCCATCCCAAAATGAAGCCCCCACCCCCATCCTGAGCGAGCCAAATGGCCGAGTGGCAGGGGCACCCTGATCATAATCAACAATATCGGCATGGGTTTGCTCCTATAGTTTTGGTGGTGGAACAAGTCTTCTCGGATAAGGATTATAAACCGTAGGCCCAGCGTAAACAAATGCTCATGTCCACTTTAAAGAATCCAGTACATCTTTCGAGATGAGTAGGGGGTTAATCCGGTATACTGGTTCACTCGGCCCGTCGTGGACAGATGAAGTTGCACCAGTTTACTGGCTGCAGAGGACATGAAGTGACCCTCAGGGGAGGAGAAAGTTATGGAAAAGTGTAACATTTAGTCTCGAGCGCATAGAGACCTCGTTTATTTTTGCTATGTAAATCCATCTATTATTATTATTGCAAAAGTAATCTTAAAAACAAGTCCATCTCATAAAGAAGCCCATGGGCTTCTTTTCAAGAGAGTATGGGATTCTTTTTGTGATAGTAAAATAGGCCTAAATAATACTGTACATAAGAAATAGGAATAAACAGTGAAAAACACACTTGGTTTATTCAGAAGATTATGCGATTTAATACACTCTATTATATAAAGTAATGTTATCTCTGATGTTGTAAATGTATTCAGGATTAGTCCTGTTTAGAGTAGTAATTCACAAAATTTACAGCATTCTTCTTGAAAAGGAGCCCCCTCTGTACTTTGCAAAACAAGTCTCAAAAAGAAGCCTATCCAACAGTCATACAAATCTGCCCAGGGCTTTGATTCAAGGTTTAATAGTAGATTTTTAATAACACCTACAATGTTTTCAAAATTAAACATAATTAACATTTTAACACCCTTTACAGTATATATTATTCAGTCATGCTAACTAAGATATTTGTCCATACCTGAAAAGGAATGCAGTCATCTTCACCAGAACCCTTGAGTAGCTGCACCTTGATGGCTATGTTCCTTGCTGAGCCAGTACGACCAGAGAAGTTCAAACTCAATGGGTACACATATATGATGTTCCTGTACAACAGAAGAGAATGAAAACATGCAATAAACACGATCAGCGACCTGAAAACAGTAGTGGTCATGTGATGTATAACTTACAGTGCGAAAGTATAGGAAAAAGTAATGTTATGGTTGTAAAAACAACCACTCACTGTTAACGTGAAAAGGCAACATAATAGTTCAAAACAGTGTTTATATATACTTATTCTAGCATTCTCTGCATTTTAGGCTTTGGAATGCAAGTGATCCTTCATGAAATTTAAGCTAGCCTACAAATCGTAGTGCGTCACACTCACAGACTCCCGTGTATACCTAAATAGGCTATAGGTAGGTAGGAAGGAACTTAGGCCTAAGGTTTCTAGAAAAATCTCAAAATTTGGTGGCCAGTATCTTTTGGAACATTAACAAAACGTTAAGGCAATAATCTCGATTACCAATCGATTTGGTACAGTTCACTGGCATTTCAACCAACATTATACAAAATGAATTATGTGCCTTTCAGCAGAAGCACTCCAATTACGTCATGCATTTGCCTATTACTGTGCATTACTCTCCTTATCCTTATTAAGTCTGAGTAGATGTTGCTTTATTATCGCATATAACCACTGTTGCCACCAAGTTATGACTTTAGCATCTTACCATAAGACATTCCTACCTGTAAACATTGTTTGGTACATAAACATCCCTAGATGGAAACTCTTGTATTTCCCTTGTAGGACGTGTTCGTAGATCTGGATATGGTTTCACTTGGTAAAGGTCAGGGGTCAAGCAGTATGATGACATCTCTTGGAGTTTTGAAATATCCAGCTTCAAACTACCTGAATATCCAATCAAAAGAATACACAAATGAAAAGATCAAGCTGGATAGAACATAAAATATTTTTTCAGTTTAAAGGAGTGAAATTCAAAAATTATTAAGACTATATTTGTGGTGATCAGTGATTACAAATTGACAGTCCTTACCTGGAATGCATTTGAGTCTCTTCAATATTGAAGTTGGTCTTTTCAGGTCAGCTAGAAATTTGTAAAGGTCATCATCACTCAATTTATCCCCTTCCTGTAAAAGAGAGAGAAGAACAAAATGTGGGAGGATTTATAAGTATCAAATTTTGGGTAAAAATTCATATACTTACTTTAATATTACAAATAAACAAAATATGTTTCATTACTTATATGTGGCAAAGACAAGCCAAACCAGTCACTCCTCGCAAAAAAAAAAAATAAATAAATATTAATACAGAGGGTTAAGGTAAAATGAAGGTTATAAAATGGTAAAAGGATAATTTAAATCCGACATTTTGTAATGAAGTTATGGAGTTTAAACATACAGCAGCCTTAACAATCTTACAACTTTGGAGACTTCTCAGAAAGAGACCATCACCAAATTGTTCATATGAAAAATATGAAATAAAGTTTATTAATATTAATTGACTAATCAATTATTACCTGCTTGAAAAAGCTTGAAACTGTCAACGTCACAGGTTTAAATGAGTTTAGATTGGTCATTTCATCATCACCACGATAGAAACTTCTCCGATCGGAGCTACTACGCTTCAAGCTGGATGGGGCGTCCGAACCTTTACGGGGCAATGAATTGTAATTGGGTAGTGTAGAGCTAGACTTCTTTCTTGCCTGATCCTCTAGACTATTAGTTCGGCTGACTGTAGTCAAATACATGACAAGGGAAAAAAATTAGAAAAGAATATTATAACATTCATTTATATGCTTATGAATTAGTATATTTAAACAATGATCTTAAGATGGACTTCTGTTTTGTCAAGGAAAAGAGGACGATCGTAGACCATCTGGCAGAGGACAGTATTGGCACAGCTGGATCAGATGGGACCCTAATGGAAGGAAGCAGGTGATGTAGCAAAAGACCAAAATAAGTGGAAGTCTAGATGCAGATCTCCAACAAGGGAAAATGTGGACAAGTAAGTAAATATAATGATTGTATGAAATATATTTGGTGATAATTTATACTGAAAATTAAGTGTAAACCAAATGTGGAAACTATTGCAGCCCAGCATACTTCCGTAAGTGGAATATCTATGTATACATGCGCAAATAGAGAGAGTGACACTTATTTTCTGGAAGTTTGTGTTACTTGAGCTTTATCATCAGCAAATTGTTTTTAAAGCTGTCTTTTTAAATCACTGACTACAAAATTAACACTCTGAGTGTACTCTTTATTTGAGGCAGATGGTATGCTGAAAGTAAGTTTTCATAGATGTAAAGATTTCATGGATATCAACTTATACCCTTCACACTCAAATGCATCATAAACATAGCATTAGTTAAAGCATTCTGCTCTTGGTAGGATTACGTAGTAAGGCACATATTAAGTACAACTATCTCTATTGTTAAGTATTAAAACTGCATTGTAAATCTGCCTTCAACAATCTGCAAATTTTATTTAAAAAAACATACCTAAATATGGTCATAATGACATCGCATCATGACCAATATATAGGCACATTATAACTATATGGGCACACAGAAATTTTTATTGTCAAGGAAAATTTGATAGTGTATACAAAGCTTAAAGATGGGCAGATTTTTGTCTGTCAGACATGTTTTAATGTTTTAATACATTTGTCTGCTAAAGCACAGCATTGTCCAACTTTGAACTGACAAAAAGATACACAGATCTGAAACAAGCATAAACGTATCAGACAATGTCTAATCAAGCAATGTTAAATCTGACAGATAAAAATACTGATTGCCCCGCATTAGTGTTATGACAACACTGGTCAACTTTGAAATTTGAGTAGAGATTGCAGAACACTACTCCACACTATGTTACCCCTGCTCAAGCAGAAAATTGAAAACTTGAGGGTGCTAAGGCACCTGCATTTCCAATTCATTGTTAAGGATTGTTGTGAGACTGCAGATTTACGAAAGCAGATGCTAAAACAAGGACAAATGCATTCACTATTATAGAAATCATAATAGCATACCCAAAGCATAACAACAAATGTAAAAGAACATAAAAAAACATAACAAATTACATAAAAATAGCAGAGTATTCTAAACACAAATGTTATCAACAGTGAAACACAACAAAATTAAACAGCAACTAGCAAGAATCATATAAATAATCATATTAATTTAACTTTTAAATTACTCATTCATTATTATTAGAAAATAATTTAATATTCTCCAATAATATAAATTAAAGTTTTAAATAATAAAATTAATAATAGTAAAAAAACAATTAAAATAACAATAAATCATAATTCCAATTTCAATTTGAAATGGAAAAATATTTTTTATATCAATCATAATTATTAACAAAATTCATTAATTAATGAATAAATCAGATTAGGATTCAATTAAACTAATTGTTTGAATATTAAATACCAACATTAGATTATTTCGATGGAACATACTGCAGCTACTACAAAATATATTACTTTTACCTATTTGGAGAAACTACTTATAAACACACAGCAAAGCTAATATAAAATAATTATGTTTCTAATTCTACATCTGATGATGAAGCAACATGAATATAAAATAGCTGAAGAGTGAATCAGTATGTAATCACATGAAGCATATACTTTGTCCTATCTTTAATATATCCATCAGGCAACAATCTAAACAATGAAGCTCATAATTAAATATACAGTATATATATACCACATGGGCAGATCCAAAAACAAAACTAGAGGGAGAATGTAGTATATCACTTGTTTAGAATAGCAATAATTGCAATTCCAAAGGCCATTCGAGGGCAAACCCCCCCCCCACTCTCAAACGACCCTACCTCCACTCCACCACCATGATCTGCCGCTAAGTAATTTCTAACAACATTAAAGATTTATTCCCAAGTAATCACATGATGAAGCCTGATTATTTTACCAAACTGTATCTGAAACTGATGAAAAATATCTCAAGGTTCAATCCATTTGAATCAGTCTATATTTTGAGACTATTTATTTAATACAGTTTCTGGGCATTTTGTGTCCTCTGGAGCATTATGATACCAAATTTCTAACCATTACATTAGGGAGCTTTCGATTAGCGAATGATGTAGAACGTAATGATGTAATTTTAATTTAATTGAGCATATCTGAACATTGTGCGTTACATTCTCTCCTGAAATCTGGAATGGTTGTCGGCCAAATCTGTGTTCAGGTTAGGAGGACTGTACTGTTAAAACATTGGTGTGTCACTGTCAGTCTTTGTGTTAGTGACATATCCATGAATAGGCAGAATTAATGTGGGCTCACACTTTAATCACATGATTACTTGAGACTAGCATATAACTTATGAACCATTTTCAAGTAGCTACTTACTTTCTATATGTACAGTGTCATTAATAACTAAAATAGCTTTTTTTTCAGTTATGGAAATGCATTATTAGGAGAGGAAAAAAATAATCATAATTGGAAGACAACCAGCATGTTGTGAGTTGGTTGGTAAACATCAATGCAAACAAAAATGTCAAATGAAAAACAAAGAGGAAATGTAATATTTGTGCAAATCACACAAATCTAAAACAAATTAAGCAATTATAAAAACCATCAAATATTTAGAAGAAATAACATGCAGCAATATTAAAATCATGAAAAGAGAACCTCTAAAAAAATTAACATTTGAAAAATTGGGATTAGGTCTCCATGTCTTAAAAAGAGTTCCTTTAAGGCATGGAGAATAACACTAATGCAAGAGGCTGTATGTAAATTAATTGGGCTTTACATTTCCTTTGTCCATGCAATATATCAGTTTAACATACTGAACACAACATATAGTAACTATAGTTCAGTGCATAACAGTGTAGGAACTTTCAAGAAGACAGATATAGCCGGTAAACTGTGACGTGCAATGCTTTACGTTGTGATTCTTAAAACCTTTTAAATTTCCTTTAAGGCATGGAGAATAATGATAATGCAAGAGGCTGTATGTAAATTAATTGGGCTTTACATTTCTTTTGTCCATGCAATATATCAGTTTAACATATTGAACACAGTATATAGTAACTATAGTTCAGTGCATAACAGTGTAGGCACTTTCAAGAAGGCAGATATAGCCGGTAAACTGTGATGTGCAATGCTTTACGTCGTGATTCTTAAAACCTTTCTAATATAAAATTGCTACTAATCAACCACTGTTTATCGTAATTATCTTATTGATCATTCATCCATTCTCCTAACAGTAGATGCTAGCTCACTAACAATTGTCTAATTTTATATTATACCTCTTGAATAATTCACATTGAATTCATGAATAATTGATCAATAATACGGAATACATGATTAATAATTCATGCTGAAGTGAAAAAAATCTGTACAACAGTTTTATGTTGATATTTTAATTTTTTTCTAATATTGAATTTTGTACCTTTCATTTTATTCTGAAAATTAAAAGTTTTTAGTAAATAATGGCATTAATAAAATAATCTGAACATGCATATTATATTACAAAGTTAATTTAGTTAAAATTTTGTTAAAAAAAAGCAAACAAATTGTAAATCAAATAAAAAGTAATACAAAAAAACGTGTTTTAAAAATAGCTACTGTAGATTAAGTATGATATAAAATCATCAATTAACTTGATATTATGAAATATATTATTAGTGATTTTCTTCATTAAGAAGCTTTTAAGTAATAAATGCAAGACCTTCTAAACACTTACAACCCTCTAGACTGCTGAGGTTCAAACTTTGTCTTTTATTGATGGTAGTTGTTGACACTTTAAAAGAAACAGCGGTAACACCCAGAAAAGAACAATTAACATCACAAAAAGTATATTAAAACGACTATGTTATTGTTAATAAAAATATCAAAAATTCTTAATTTGCTAATACTGACAGTGGTGGATCAAAAAGCTTGAAATAGAAGAAGGTCCCAGGGTAGGACTTTCACAGATGGAGAGTCTATACCATTACCACCATGTCTGGGGCTGAGGTAAGAACATTTATGATTATGGCACCTCTAAATGAAAATGGCACTTCTAGACTTCAAAATTTGCATATAATTTTCTTTTTTTCACCATTTTTTTTTTTAATTCAAAAACTTTTTTTTTTGGGGGGGGGGGGAACTTGTGCCAACTACCCCCACTTACTTGAATCCACCACTGATTAAGAATCTATGTGAGGAATTTATTCACAGAGGTTATCTAAATGAATAAATATGCTGCTTAAATATCTCTACTTGGGAAGTCTTTCACTAACAGCCAATCAAAAAATAGTAATCAATATTAAAGGAGAAAACAATAGAATATTATTACAGTATATCCACTGGAAAATATTATAGTTACTTAAAAAAAAACATTCTTATGGTAATAGCAGTCTGTTAAGTAATTTTGGAACCATCAGTATACTTTTAATTAGCATTTTTGTTTCTCCTTGAATAAATTTATAATTAAAGTATTGTTTATAGGGGGTAGTGTAGCAATACTAAACCTTGTACCTGCAGTTACCCACCTCCCCTAAGGAGTCTTTATCAGAAAGGCACAGGGCATCTAACAGAATTATTTAGTGTTTAATACTCAACTACCATTCTATTAGAACAATCAAAAGTGACATTCTTGCAAACAAACGTAGACAACCAAGATTTATTCAGGCAAAGGTGATTATTTAGAAGGAAATACAAGACTACTTTGTAGTGATTAGGTAAAAAATTAGGTCAGAAACGATGCATTGGTTCGAACTTACAAGGATCCAACAGTCCAAGATTAAAACTCTGTCGTTTCAGTAAGCTTGAGGCTAAGAAAAAAATGTTGGCATTAACATGGTAGCAAAGAATATCTAGCCACCAGTAGAGTTACATACAGAGTTTTACCAGCCACCTGTACAGCTTGTCACACATGTATGCAAATTCATTTTAATGAGTTGAATGATATTATGTTAGCATTGTTTTTAATATTGATGAACATAAATAAGCATAGAAAGTTTCAGTGCAAAACATATTAATTTCTTAATAATGATTTTGTGTAGAGGTGATTTAATTACATCTTATGTTGACAGTATAGTGTGCATTGAAATTTGCAGAAACTATGAATTTTGAGCTTCTGCTTATTCTAAAAGTTATAAAATTTTAATAATTGTGATGGAAAATTGAGGTGAAAAAATTTCTAAAATGAAATGAATTTGCAGTAAAGTATCAATGTGGAAGAGATTGTATGATTTATATAAAAGCTTTAATTTATAGCAGACAATGCTACAATAAACAACTTTGTAAGGCATCTTTTCTAATAAAAAAAGATAGTCATACCTGATGTCTTTGCTGTTTCAGTGTTTTCTGGTTTTGCGAGACCCTGTGAGCCGTTTATCACATTCATGAGATCGATGGCTGTCCATGCAAACGGCATACGGTAAGCACCCAGTTTCTCGCAAAAGTATTTGGCGTTGGCTTTGACCTTCTCTTGAACCTGTATAAATCAAAATAACTCCAGTCTTTACAAATGACATACATATTTACTTTATTAGTTTGACGTTCAGATGCTATTCAGAAGTGTCAATATAAATCCAAGTTAAAATATAAACATTTAATAATGTAAGCTTATATATTTCCAGAGTACATAATGGATCTCATGGCTCTATACTGTTGTATCACAGTGGCGGATCCAGGAATTCAAAGTAAATGGGGGGGGGGGCCAAGAGAGAAGTTTTACAGACGAAGTGTCTACACCACCTGGCCCCACCATGGTTATGTTAAGTTATGCTATGTTATGTTTATTCCATGTTGGTTGGTTAATTGTTTGTTGGGGCTGAGGTACGAAAATATATATTTATGACTCCTCTAGATATTGAATGTAACTATATTTTTCCTCCATTTTTCTTACAATTGGAAAAAAATGGTGGCCTGGGATGGCTGGGCATTCCCTTGAATCCGCCACTGTAACAATAACATTTTATCATACTGTATTATATCACATTACACCACTCAACATCCTCTTTCAACTAAAATCTTACCTTTGGGTTTTCGGATTCTTTCATATATGGCTCAGCACATTCTTGTATGTCTCCTTGCTGTAGGACTTTGTCCAACTTCACAACAATGTAAACATCACTTGAGGGGTACGTAAGTGAGAAGACGGCAGCCCGTGCCATAGTGGATACATCAGGGTATGAACTCTTATTAACAATCATCCCTTTAATTGCATCCGTATTCATGTCAAAATAGAAGTTCTCAGATATCTACAGTCAACGGAAAAATACATAAAATTAAAATATAAGAAATACTTTTTGAATTATATTATCAATTTACAGTACTAAAAATTTAATCTTAAGTTACATTTTTTTTTGGAGAGGGTAACCATTTCAAACTAACCTGGAAAGCTAGCTGATATTCAGGTCCTCTATCGAAATGTTAATGAAAAATTATATAACAACAAAGAGTATTACATTAAATTTTATTGTGGAAACACCATGCAATTCTGTTGATATTTATGTGTATCTTATAAGAAGAAAATATGTTCACAATCATTCAGCACTACCAACAATTAACTTACCTTCTTTTTCTCCTTTGAATCATAAAGTGCCATGGTTGCGAAGATAGGTTCTATCTCTAGTTCAAGTCTAAAAAAAAAAAAAATAAACAGTTTAAAAAACACAACCACTGACTCAAGTTTTTAAACAATGCATTAGAAGTGGTTTGGCGCAGCGGGAACGGTTTGATCTCCAATCCTCAAGATGGGGGGTTTCAATCCTTTGCTGCACATTTTGCTTGTGTCCTTGAGAAAGGCACTTTATCTGCATTGCTTCTATCTACCCAGGAGTATAAATGGGTACTTGGTGGGGTTGCCTGCTCCTGCACTGATTACCAGCAACATTTAAGCATGTGGACCCAATGACCAGGGAAAAGAAGCGCTTTGTATCTACAAAGAAAAGCTGCTATATAAATAATAATAATAATAATAATAATAATAATAATAATAATAACGATAACAATAACAATAATAATAACAATAATAATAATAATAATAATAATAATAATAATAATAATAATAATAATAATAACAATAATATTCTTTAGTGCTTTAAACTATCGGTAGTAAAATCAGGAAATTAAAATGCTATAAAGTTCTTTTTTTTAATGATTTACAGACTTTTACCACAAAAAAAGCTATTATTTATGGGACTCTGAATCAGCAAGGAAATATCCATTATTTAAATGGCATGAGAAATACTAACATGCTTTTGGAGAGAGTAATGCATGCTATTTATAATATTTTTTATTATGAATACAAATAAGATTATTTGTATTTACTTCAGTTGTAAGCATTTCACTAGCAATCTTGATCCAAAATGTTCTGCCGGAATATCAACTAAGGACCTTCTTTCAATGGCATCCTCCTGAAATAATTGATTAAATTAGCATATTAAAAAAAATGATAAATGATCATATAATAAATTGTAATTTGCTTTTCTGAAGGATGTTGTATTACTGTACATACTGTGTATTATAACCCTAGAATGAGGACTTTAAATACAGTCATCTTTTTATTTCACCAAAGTATGATATTTTATTTTACCAGGATTTAAACAACCAATGCTCTACATTTCATTACATCTCTATCCTAAAGAACAATGACAGAACTGCAATTGAAACAAATGGAAGGTGAGATGCGCAATCATTCCAAGAACATTGCTCGATTATCATACAAAGACAAAGACATTGATGATCACATTATCAATATATCATCGTATGGTCTGTCTTTTTCCAGAAATGTTCTTAGCCGTCGATTGCAATTTGTGTTTCCAAAACATACATCTCACAGGGACTTTAAAGCTATAGATATTTGAAAAAAAATTGTGGAGATTGGAGACAAATTTAGATAATGATGAAAAGAAAACCCTCATAGCAGCAACTTTGAAGTCTATTGCATTAAACTACATTTAATGTAAAGACCAGACCGATCACCACCTTGGTCCTTACTCAGTCCTAATATTCAGCGGTGGCACTAGAAATTTGCTGACAAGAGGTCAGACATGTCCGACAGAGGGGTCTGAACCAAGGGGCAGACTAGAGCCTTGGCCGACAGCATAAAAAATCCTGGTAGGGTTTATGGGTTGAGTTTTTTTGGCTTAGCATGGTCCAAATTGTGCTTTTACACCACAAAAGTAGGGATTAGCAATCAAAATAACGTTATTTGGATACGCAAATTATCATTTAAAAAATGTTTTGATCTGACGACCTAGTCGTAACATCGGACGGCAGGGGGTCCAGATCTGTCCGACGTGAGGGAAAATGCCTCCCTGCTGGTGTCACCTGCCACTACAATCAGCAACAGGAACATATAACTATAAACTGGCCTAATGGTTACATGAAAAATTATAACCATTTGCGAGTAATAAGTTCACAGTTCACAACATATTTTAATTCTCCAAAGAAATATGCTCCACTACTATTGGTACTGATGACTTGCTACAGTAGTTTCCTATGATGTCATCTCATTATTTAGGAATGTTCCTCTTGATGACCCTATTCACATCCTTGCTGACAAGGCTTTTGAAAATAACCAGTTCAATATAGTCTATCTATTGATAAACAAGGTCTTATTGACCTCCTAACGATTGCCATAAAAAACCAACTTTTCCAATATGATGGTAACTTGCATGAGCAAGTCAACGGTGTAGCCATGGGTTATCTATTTGATTCACTAATGGTGAACATATTCATTTGCAACATTAAAGACTCTGGCAAAATGCCAGTATTCTACCAATGTTATGTTGACGATACTATTTCAACAAAAATCTGTTTCAAAATGATTTTGAGTGGGCAATGTGTTCCAATGAAACATGAACACAATTGATCATAAAATCAAACATTTAGCAAGCTGCGCTTTAGGCACTGGTTAGCATCTTAATATATTATCCAATGGCTTACAACTTGTCTTCAAAGTTAATTTATTCAGATGCCAAAAAATGGCCTCGAGAAAAAATGTCCCCTGAAAAATGGCACTGGAAAAAATGGCCATGGTAAAAATGGGCCTAAATGACAGATAGGTAAATATGCCCCAATGATAAAGTATAAAACTTCCAACTAATGCTGCAAAAATTGAATCACTAAATCAGCACAATTGTTTAATCCCTGTACGAAGATCTGGGGTACAACCTACATCATCCATTGCCGGGTACAGGGTGAATATATCCGAGTTTCTAGCTGTATTCCTAGCCTCCATGTTGATCCTATCCTGTTGGTCGATTGGCGCATGGTCTAAGAGATTTGGAAGCAAGTCATCGGCTTCTGTGGATTCGAGGTTGAATATATTTGACGCCCAACTTCCACGTGGAGTTCTTTCCATGTGTATTGATCCTCGTTTAATTTCCTCTTCTTGCTACAAATATGGATTTGTGACACAATTTAATTTACAATATAATAATAATAACTTATTCAATTATATTGCGCAAATTTTATTAAAATATGTTCAAATGTGCATTACAATAGACAAGGATACATGTTTACAATAAAAAAAGAGAAAGTTAAAATTAAGAGGAGCTAAAATTCTGGAAAGCTAAAATTATTGTACAATTTAAAAAAAAATCACATATTAAAATTTGAATTATAAAATACATATTGTGATATATAAAGACGATAAACAGATCTTTTTGATGCAATGTATTTTGACCACAATGGGATTCAAACCTAATATCGTCCAATTAACTATTTAGTATTATTTTTTTTAAATCATGAATTAAACATCAGATTTTAAAGAAACCATGGAGAAGGTCTTTGCTATTTGCTATTAATAATAAAAATTAAATATTATCTTATCATCATTATTTATTGTATATATTATCTTTACAATTATATTACATTAATTCATCCAATCAATGTATAAAAATTAGAAAGAAAGTCAGTAAATCAATCAATCATTCCTTATATGTAAATGGCACATATCTACTTTTTTCCTTTAAAAATAATTATTATTTTCAAAAGACAATAAAGATTATTTTAAAAAAAATTGCCTTTACTTCAGTTTACATTGAAATAAACCCCTTAAATATTTAATTAATCCTACATACAAATGCTGTAGTTGTTGACATACCAGTTCATCTTCATCAATAAGTTCGAGTTCGTCGACTTCAAAGACTTTGTCGTTGTTTGCTATCAAATCAGACTGTATCCTCTTTAGTTTTGTTTTTTCATGACCTGCAACTTTACTCTTGTATTTTCGATTAACTACTGCCCATTCAGAAGTGTAGAGTTTCAGGCAATCCCTTACTTGTAGATCGGTCACCAGTTGCCTGTAGTAATAATGAAAAGAAAAACAATATCCTAATAAGTTGGGATAATCATAAGGCAGACATGAAATAAATCTGTGGGACCCAAGTCTGACTAAATCAGGAAGTGGAAGTGGTTTGACGCATTGGGAACAGTTCGATTTCCCAAACTCAAGGTCAGGGTTTCAATCCCTCGCTGTGCATTTCACTGTGTCCTTAGGCAAGGCACTTTATCTGCCTTGCTTCTCTTCACCCAGGAGTAGTAGGTACCTGGTAGGGTTAAATGCCAAAATGCGCTGATGTGTTCCATATGCGTTTAATGACCGGAGTAATGATAATGAGGGCTTAATATGCGCTATATAAGTCTACCATATTATTATCATTATCATAAATCAAAATACGAAAAATCTAGGGTCTTGTTTTTGTCAAATAATATAGTGTGATATCTATTTAATTAATTTCATACCTTAATGTAAGAATACGGTGCAGTGAAGGAGGGAAAGGCCACAAACGTCTACACTATCAAATTTTAATTTGACAATAAACTGTATGCCTATATATAGTCATGATGTGCCAACATATGGTCATGGTGTGATGTCATCATGACCAACCACTGTAACTTACTCCTCATCAGGCAGTGCAGGCTTGACTGTTCTACATTTTCTTGGTATGATGCTAACTTCTATGTCATCATCCGGGTACTTTAACAGCTGAGGGCAGTCATCACTCTGTATTCGGTAGTGGTGTTTTTCTAGATAGACCTCATAATCGGGAGGATCAACAATCTCCGATAATGAGGCCTAAAACGTAGAACAAAAGAATATTAAATATTGCGAGAGTTGTTTTCCCCATATAAGATATTAGAATACATCTACCATATTTTATTGTGATGAGCAATAGGGAACAATAAATGTTATTACAATACATTTTTTTTATAGTTACAATCAACATTTACTAAATAATTACACATTTGAAATGAAAAAAAGTGCATTTGATCAGATTTCAAATGAAATCTGATCTGAAATTTTTTACATTTAAATTTATTCATTCTGAATCACTGACAATGTAATTTTTTCATTCGCATTTCTCCGGTACAGTAGCTTGAGCAACCTACAATAATCAAGCTTAATTACAGATTAAATTTAATAAAATTAAATTTATTATCTACCATCTGTGGATGAATAACTGAGACATTGGAGATGCTTGAAGCTCTGGAGATACTGTTTGGAGTGGTTTGCCCAGAAATTTGACGGCGAATATCAGCAGCTTGAAGATTTCTGATAGGAAAAAGGGGAAAATGATTAACCGAAAACTGAACAGGATAGAGAAGGCTGAATTAAAATAAAGTAACTTTTCTTATTTTAAAATTCATGCTGAACTTACGCTGTGGCTAGAGGTCCGGTACCGCTATTTATCAAAATCCGCTGCCTGATCTTTACACACTTAAAGATGATTGCGATAGTACAAACAATATACTAAATATTCAATTAAAAAAAAAAAATAAAAAAAAAAAATTAAAAAAAAAAATTTCCTTTTGTTTTCCAGTACCATAGAATAATTATATGTGTGCAAGGGTAAAAAAATAATGATTATTTTTATTGGGCCTAATAATTAATTTTATTGCTTTAAAGCAATATTGATACAACTGCGGCACCATGAAATATTATGCGCCGAACAAGGTGTCGCCGCGCGTTTTCCCATTACACCTTAAAAAAATCCTGGGGAGAACACTGATAATCATTATTAAGTAAGATTAAGCCTATCTATACCCCCTGAACACTAACCAAGCCTACACCCCTGAACACTAACCAAGCCTACACTAACTAGATACAAAACCGATAGAGGGTGCTATAGATCGGCAATACAAATATCTCGATAGAAAATAGTGCCCTGACGGAGATAGGATATCCAATGTATTAATTGGGTATTTCACGGAAGTATACAACAATTTGACCAAATTACTTCCAGATAACTCTCTAGAAATGATTTCTGGACCAAGTTATTGGCTTTTTAAGCGCGCGAATCGAATTAGTAGAAGTTTTTTTAGTACAACCAATGTTTCGTCGATTTTCAATAATAAAAGGAAACCTTCGATAGTTTTTTAGTTAACATGTTTGTTTTCTTCAGTTTTTAAACTATAAAAATAAGTAAGTTTTAAATAATATTTGTGTGCATATTAATTGAAATAGATGGCATAAAATTCTATTGTCTTATCACATACTGCAGCTAGGCTTGGCTCGTACGAATAGAGGGCACCCTCGTTAATTTGCGGCGGCTACACGCAGGGTAAACGATGTTTTCCCCACTGGCCACCGTGTTGTCTGAGGCCTGCATTTAGGCCTAGAGTTATGCGATTCAATATAATTTATTATATGTAGAATCTATAAGTTGATAAAAATTATTAAATCTAATATAAATACTGTATATATACTAAAATACTAAATTATAATCGTTAGTAATTGTCAAGCATTATTTTAACATGGCCTAAAATGCTACATAATTATACTGTAAGTGACACACTACTTGTATAATAAAAACAATAGGAATTAACTCCAGCAAAAAACATATTTAAAATAGCAATATCTCCGCTAATATAGGTCTGATTTACATAATTTTTGTTTTAAAATGCTTCATTCAGTTAGGCCATGGAGGTATAAAAATGTTTATACCTCCATGGTTAGGCCTAGCCTAGGCCTATGTCTTTCTATTAAAAATAAATAAAAAAATATTTGGGACATTTCAATTTTTTTTGTTTCTAGCTACCTACCTACTACACCCCTGAACACTAACCAACAAATAAAAACGTATATCGATATTTAGGTTTAAGTAGGGTTAAGGTGGATCTAGGCTAGGCCTATATACCAGGTCGGAAGCGAATGTAAGAGTAGACACAGCATCAGCAGGCAGACCTGCCTGGACAGCCTCCCAACAAAAAGGTTTAGCTAGCCTATCCTAGGGCCAGGCCTAGCACCGGTCCTAACTGCCCAGCGTAGATACTTAATTATACAGCAGAAATATGTACGTCAGTGTTTCATATCGAATGTTAGATACCAGTCCTTTTAGATAAATCTATTTAAAATGTAAATATAATACAAAATGTCTTACTTGTTGAGTTTTTGAGCAAAAGCTCGCCTACCAGAGCTCGCCATCTTGTCGACTTCCGTGTGCGCGGTTGTTGTGTAGGGAGGCTTTCAGTGCGTTGCGATGTTCTAAGCGAGTTAACGCAAGTTGACGCGAATTGACGTTACCAAAATAAATTATGAATAATTTAATCTGTAAAATTAACAATTCCTGTGAGTCGACGGAGAAATGGCGATTCCAAATTAGCCTGCCTACCGGCTCAGTAATGTATGATGTTTTTTATTTTCTATGTTATGTTAATTAATCTACTTGCTACAAGTTAAAACAATCCTCTGCCAAGTAGATACAGTCTACTCACCAAACACAGAGTATTTGTTTACAAGGCTAGGCCTAGCTAGGCCTCAGTTTTAGACAGGCTAATCCTTCGACCTTGTTGTAGTAGGCTGTTTGTAGTCAACTCACTGGCAGCTAGTAGTAGTACTGTAGTAGACTAGGGCCTAGGGTAGAGTAGGTGGCATAGCTAGGCGTAGTACAATAGGCCTAGGCCGAGTGTATCCAGGTCCATACCCAAGGCCATTCTTGAGTGTAGTTTTCTAGGCTAGGCCTAAGCAGGTGTATTTAATAAGGCCAATCTGTGATCGCACTTGATCCAAAAAAAAAAAGTGTTTATGAATGTCGTGCATAGTTTTGAGACATTTGCAAAATTTGCATGTGCAATTTTACACAATTTGAAACTCTCCAAGGAATGATTTGCACAATTTGAAAACTCTGCAAGGAATTCTTTACACAATTTGAAAAATGTGCAAGATCTGCACAGCTCTGCAAACTGTGCAAGGAGATTGTTACCCATTTTAAAATGCGCAGACAATTTGCAAACTTTTCAGGGATAGCTTGTGCACATTTTAATTGATTTGCACTTTTTATACTCTATAATATATATTTTTCATGTTATTGGTAGCTGTGTGACTAAGATTCATTCCGAGAACATTCATGTTTTCGGTATTTCGTTTTGCTCTGAAAGATATGCAAACATTTAAACACTGCCTATTATTTAATTACAGAATGTAGTTCAATTTTCAGTTTTCATTTATCTTATTACTACAGAGTAATTAAAATCCAAGACCTGTCTGATTGATTCATGGCTGCCTTCAAGTACAATTATCTAGGAAACAGGCAGCAACAGACCATGGATTCTGAGACAAGTGCCTTCGACTACAGCTCGACCTTCAATTATGAATCCGCCTTCGCCTACAGCAAGAGCTACTATCCACAGATACAAGAAGAGAGAAGTATTTATGTTTTTACTTCGACTAGTAACTAAATAGTTTAAATTTAGTGGTTGATCTTTAATAATGTAATATTTAAAACCAGGTGGGTCATATCAGCTATTTTAAAGTGAAGATATGTTTTATTTTTATTTTGTTCATTTCGGCATAAAAATATACAAGACATGAACAAACAAATAGATATAAAAGCAGAGGAGATGCAACAGCATAAAAGATACTGTCACCGGTATGCATGGGTGGTGCCAGGAATTCCCTGATGAGGGGTCTAAGCTCCCCGACAAGGGGGCCGCACCCGAACGCTAGGACTGAATTGTCGGGGAAGCCTAGCTTCCCACCCCCAGTCGGGGAAAAATTTGTTAGAGAATTTTTTTTTTTATTAAAAGAATAATAAAATTTTGTGTTAATTTATTACATGGGATTCTTTATCTAAAAAGGATAATGTGATAGAAAACTATGGATGTTAAAAGTCCCCCTGTCGGGGAAGAGCTGGCGCAACGATGCACACCATACGATCGTAATAGTATACACCTCTTACATACGGTAGCACTGATCGCACTAAACATTTTTTTAATCCCTAAAATTTGAGAGCTTTACTAACGCATGATTGAATTGTACTTTTGGCACTTGAGATTTGATTTATCCCAGATGACCATTCTGGAAATTCCCCGACTGGGTGTCCAAGCGCGAGGTCCAGAGGTCCCGTTAGGGGTCCTATGCCCTCCTGGATCGCCTGCCAGCGCCTCCCCTGCCGATAAGGTGTGCTTTTGCAGAAAGAAATTATACTAGCATACCCGTGCTCCACACGATGTTGAATGAGTGGAGATAGTGGCGATGTGTAATAAAGTAGTTGAATGTTATGGGATGTTGATGACGCAATCATTGTGTATGTTGCCGTGTCATTATTTTTCTAAAGGACATGTTTGTAGGTAATGTTTAGAGTGTCTCTGCTAAATAGTCCTTGTGAGAAATTGTCCACTTTGATAGATAGGGCCTACATTAAAGTAACCTCTTGTATGTACAGTACGTGAAAATACAGTTGAACATGAGAAATATTTTTCTTGATTGAAGTACTTGCGGGATGCATGTAAGGCTATCTATATGTAACTAAAAAATAGCCTGTGGACATTGTGCCAATGTGTAATACATAAATTCAAGGTGTTGATTGGTGGAGCTGGCTTGACTATAAACTTAACTTCAGTCTCATTCACTATGACATGGCAGAAGAATAACCATAAAGACCTGATCCAAATCGACCCGGATTCGAAAGAGTAGGGCAGGCCCAGTCTAGGCGAAATTATTAGGCCTAGCTTACTGTATTATAATTGCCTTGTTTGTGCCCAGGTGTATCTTTATTTTTATCTGATCAATGTATATATTCAGTATCAATGACAGCTAAGTCAGAATTAATATAGATTAAAGATTAATAATTGTGATAAAAATGTTGAAAATATGCAAATGAAAGTATAAAATTATAGTGTGATTGTAATTTGTGATTACAATTTGTGAAAACAAAACATATGGAACACCAATGCAAAGATTATAGATAGACGACTACAGAGTTTGGTACTAATCATTAGTAATGAAATATTCCAATTGGTTATTACAGTACTGTATATATTTATCTAATTATATTTATATATACTTTAATCTTCTTTCGCAGCCTTCCATGAACCTTTAGCAGCCAAGATCTGTACCTATATTCTTATTGTTATTAACTATATGCTCATAGTATTCACTTTTCCAGTCTCTATAAAGGTAATTATTTTGAGTACTGTATTACAGTGCAGAATAATTATGTTAATTAGATCCATAAACTAGGACAACAGAAAGCCTATGGATAATCATATTGAATATTCCATTATTCATTGTGGTAATAAATGTAATCCTAAAATATATTCACAGAAAACAACAGGTACTGAATTCTCCAATATCATATTCATATATTTACAGTAATAATAACTAGAAAATAAGATTGATTTTCTAAATGTATACTTTTGATGTATATATGTCATAAATAATTATTAATTAAATATTTTTATATGTATATTACTGGAAATTAATACATTGTCCTCTATTTTTTATTCTTTTTATTGCATTTTGTATCCAAAAGGTGCAGTACAAATTCTTTTTTGTATTATTATTATTATTATTATTATTATTATTATTATTATTATTATTATTATTGTTATTATTATCATTATTATTTTCAAATATTTTGAAAGGTTCAATGTTAAATATGTGAATTTTTTTTATAGATTTTATGACAGATGATATTTATGAGCAATTCATTTTCATTACTGAATGTTTTAGGTTTTTCACCATATATGTTGAAGAGGAATTGTTTGCAATAACTTAATAAGTTAAACACTATGTCATTGTAAGGTGATTTATTAAATTTACATGTTTTATGTTAGACATTGAAACACTTTGAGAGGGCTGTGGTGTATCGCATTGGTCATCTAGAACCTCTGAAGGGGCCTGGGATGATTGTTATCTTACCATTCATAGACAAGTGGCATAAGGTTGATCTACGGACAAAAGCGTTTAATGTCCCTCCACAGCAGGTGTGTATAATAATGACTTTTCCCATATTAGGAATAATTTTTTGCCCTACTTGACATGCTATCATACTGAATGCTCAGTACGTTCCTAAATGTCTGATTGTACTTAATGCCGGCTTCTATCTGCTTCACATAATTCCTGTTATAGTGCAACAAGCACATGCATACCCACATAATAAGTAATCATATAGTATTGTGATTTATTTATTATTAAGAAACATCACTTGATGGCTTCAAAATACCACATTAGCACTGCATAGCATGTTAAGCACTCTTAAACTTTGTTTAGTAGAATGCTATTACTGTATAAATGCCAGATTTTTACTAATTATCATTGATTAGCCAATTGACTATTGATTGATTTTTGTTTTAATAATAATTGATTATTGATTATTAAAATATTCATTGATTCATTATTATCAAATTCTTATTCAGTTCTTGATTGGTGATGGTGCAGGAATATCGGTAGGTGCTAACATTTATTTCCGCATTGCGGATGTGAGGAAGTCAGTGAACAGCGTGCAAGATTTGAACCACTCCACCCGTGTCCTTGGTCATTCGCTGATGGTGAAGGCACTAGCAAACAAGACCACAAAGGAGTTGGATACTGAGAAAATGAGAATCAATGAACAGTTGCTGGAAGATATGAATGTGGTCACTCAGACATGGGGTGTGGAAATTTCAAGGGTAGAGCTGTAAGTTAGTGTTGATGTCATTTATGCTTATTTATATGATAATGATGATGGTGAAAATGATAATAATTATGATGATGATGGTGATTCTTGATATACTGTATGTAGTGCCTCACATTAAAACAACTCTTGTGTGCTTAATAACAATGTAATAAATTCAAATGGAAAAAAATATAAAGCATATAAACTCACAGAACTCTTCACAAAAATAAGTACATCATTGACTATTTCCGGTCAAATTTGTGTCCTGGTCTATAGTAAAAAAACTACATTTTTTTTTTCAGATCTGAAATAACTGTGTTGAAAGCAGCACCCGAAAGTAACACTGTGCAAAACATAATTGGACAACTCTTCTCATCAGCAACGAGTATGTTTGTTATATAGCTTAGCTTGTATATGCAAAATCATCGCTACAAAAAGCACTTTTAATTATTACCCCTGGGGCGGATTGCTATAAGCGGTCTTCAGACGGCCTTAATGGTTAGCCGGCTATAATCGTGACATCTCTACTGGCCTATGATTAAAATAATAATAATAATAATAATAATAATAATAATAATAATAATAATATTTATTCGGCATAAAAGAACAATTTAGCCAGGATGCGAGAGATTATATACTATTGCTATACCACGGTCTAACCAGTTGGCTGTCTTAAATTTTAAAGCCTACTCGGAGGAGGCTTAAAACGGTCTTAAATCATTTTCATCATGGCATTACAGGTACTAGACCTAGGCCTAGATCGTAGAAGACTAAGAATCGAAAGACAAATATTCCGCAAGCTTCTCAGTGTCTGTAAAAACCGATCTATGTTTATTTACATTCATTTTGATAAATATGCATGTTTTGAGCAATCGTAACAGCACCGTCATTTTTATGTTACCAGAGAGTGCTTGTTTAAATTTCAATAAGCGAAGACCGTTATAGCAATGGTCTAGCAGAGTGACTTTAGTAAGACCGTCTAAGTGATAAAGCCGGCTTTATTCAACGAGTTAAGACTATCAGTTAAGACCTGTTTTATAGCAAGTTGCCCCAGGCTAATTTTACACCAGTAGATTTTCATTAAGTATCATTCACATCCTACAAGATACCTGTAAATACTCCCGGGGGCATGGAGACAAATGTGGATATAGAGTGCCTTGCACACGGAGGATGCTACCAAAATGGACAGACAGCACAGGGTTGTACAGGGTTCAAATAACTGACCTCAAAATTAAAAGCCTAAACCAAAGGTTCTACATTTTAGCATTCTAGATGGTACTGTATGAAATAACCAGACGTAGTTGTAGATGGTTGATTTACACAATAAATGATAGCATATGCAATTAAGAAACTACTAAAGTAAATTTAAATTTACAATATTACATTTCTCTATCATAGCTGGAAACATTGGTCTCAGCACTTCAAACATACCACAACCTTTCTTGCTGCCACAACCCTCGTCACAGGCTCAGCCAAGCACAAGCTTCACTTACCAGAATGAACAACAGTCACTTGATAAAGCTGCAGTACACAGAGCAGTGCCCTCTATTACACCAGCAATTCTTTTAGCATCCATTAAACCACTGTTGAATGAATATATGGTGGGAAGCGTTGGGGCCGTGTACAAGTTTATTATAACAGGAGAAAATGGTGGCACTTTTTTCTTGGATCTTAAGAATGGTGAGTTTTAAATATTGTTTAAAAAGTCAATCCAAACTGCAACCCTTTTAAAATGCAACACAAATTGCTATTATTAGCAGTGGCTGGTTTAATATATATATTGAAACTCAACTTGTTTTTGTACATATATTTTTGTGTTTTATATCTAAAGTTATCTAGTATTTTAATGTATTTTTTTATAATTTTGTTAACCCATATATGTAACAAGGAAATCAAATCCCAAGACATTATTTCGACAATAAAAAATATCTGAATCTAGCCTATGTAAATATGAGTATGTGATTGGTCGAAATGGCATCATGTGACTAGTGCTAACATATCAAATGTTAAATAAAAAATAGATAAGCTGTACTAGTCTAATATATAATAGAAAATAAAACTCAGGATATTCAGTACTTTTATGACTAGTTTATTTATGACAGTACACAAGCTTTCGTGCACACAGTGCACTTCTTCAGGTGAATGTGAAGTTAACATAAACTTGGTGTATAAACCTAAGCAAGTTAATTATTCAAGCATACAATTAAGACGAAAGGACTAAAGCATAAGCAATAAACAGTATAAAAATGAAAAGACAGGTCAGGGGTCAGAAGTATTATCAAAGTCAGTGAGTATAATATATAGTAACTAATTACTTTTACTTATAGTTACTTTTTGTTAAATTTAACTTCACGTGTGAATCGGGTATAAGTAGGCAATATCTGTATACTATACTGTCTACACATGTTCTATATACAGTATGTATTACAAGATTATGTTGTCTTTTTTTTTTTAAGGACTGGGAGATGCCGGTGTTGGGGAGCCTCCTATCGGAGAACCTGACGTGATTCTTGAACTGTCGACTACTAACCTACCACGGTTATTCTCAGGTCAGTTGAAGGTTATGTCTGCATACATGAGTGGACAGTTGAAGGTAGAGGGCGACAGATCCGCAGCAATGAGGTTGGAAGAAGTTATGAAAGAACTGAATAAGGCAATGAAAGTGTAATGCAACATACTTGGAATATATATATATATAAGTAAAGATTCTGTGCAATAGTTTAGCTTTAATATGTTTAGAATAGTATGCCAATTTGTGTCTAATTTTTTATAGTTTTTAAATGTACCTGAAAAAATGAATTTAACATTAACTGTTCATAAATACTTTTTTAAAGTGAATTGAATGTACAGTACAGTTAAATTTGCCTAAGTCTATTTTGCATAAGTCAAATAATTTCTAATTTTACATGCCAAATTGTTGTGTTTTCCATTATTTAACAATCTGTAAGACGAATTTTATCTAAGTCGAACAATATCTCAATAGCACTTTGGATTCGACTTAGGCAAGTTTAACTGTATATCTACCTGGTATAACATATTATGTAAGTAAATATCTGACATAGGTTTTCTATTATGTAAAATGAGCAAGAGAGCAAGCAATTTAATTTCCATTAATTGGACAGCAATATGATTTGTATCTTTTCATTGAAATATCATTAACTCACTGTAATCATGGTATTAAAAAAAAGGCAATTCAACCAACATAATAGATGCCTAATAACCTTTCTCCAACACTGATTGGCTCACTACTAAAAGGATAAAAAAGCCTGCTGGGTTTGCTGGGCACTATAGGTACATTCACATAAGCTATCGTGATAAACTTATCATGATCTATTCATCATGATAACTTTAGCATGTTAGAGAAAACCGTTCATATTGAAACCATCATCATGATCTATTTATGCTGATGCGTGCAGTGTTGCATGAAAACTACCAGAAGCACAACCAATGAGGTTAAGATCTACCAGAAGCACAACCAATGAGGTTGGGACCTGTTTAATAAACTGAAGGCTGATTGGTTGAATTCAATCTCATGAATTAAATTATCACGTTAACCAAGGCTAATCATGATGAATCAACATGCTCCACTAGATCACAATAAGGTGATTAAGCTGAAAGTATAATACATACTCCAAGTATTGAAATACACGCCATCGTGTGGCGATGGCGTGTATTTCAATACTTGGAGTATGTATTATACTTTCTTATCTGAGATTAATCAGTGGACCTTTCGGTGATTAAGCTGAGCACGTTATTTGATTCTGGTTGGTTCACATAAAGTGACTGGCTTGATCATGATCCACTAGATCACGTTAAATTCTGAATGTGAACCTAGCATATGTCACCTTTTACAACTTGCCAAGTTGTGATAACCATCATTATTATGGAACTTTTGATGGTAAGGTCAAGACGTAAGAAAGCGGCGTGATTACCGAGTTCAGGGTGTATTATGGGTCTGCAGCTTGTGTACAGTGCATCCAAAAAAGACAGCACTCCCTCCCAATTACTTTTTGATTAAAAATGCACAGAACGTACAGTGGCTGCAATGGATCAAAGGGAGCAAGTTGGTTGAATCTCCTTTTTTATACCTCCATGCTGTAATAATATAACATAGTGAAATTCTTTTCAATGGGTAAATATCAGAGTCGTTGCTTGGAAAGTCGTAAAAATGTTACGGAGTTGTATTAACATGAGTTCACCTTTTACAGCTTGCCAAGTTGTGATAACCATCAATATGGAAAAGTCAAGACATTTAAGGACGTCGCATAAAATTATCTGCACATTTGAAATTCTTGTAATCCTCCGCAGATTGGACCAGATCATGAATAAGTGAATCTTCCCTAGAATCAGTCACAAAATGTACATTTTTTATTGTATTTTTCACCACAATGGCATTATTGTTTGATGCAAGCTTTAGTGTTCTTGCCATAGATTGTAAAGGTATTAAAAATTTCCATAGATGTACATACAACTAAGTATCATGCTAATTAGATTAGGGGCTGAGCTATGACTTTTATATTCAATTTAAAGTGGAAACTAAAAATTTGCTGGAAAAGATTAGAAGTATCTAAAAAAATAAAATATCTCACCTTGATTGTCATTTTAAAGATATACTGTCTTTATCATCATTCGAAGTTTTATTAATTATGAATTTATCAACTGTCCTTGCTTGGGCGAGACTTTTTTTATACCTTGTTTCGTGAGCTTATTTTTTTAAAGAAGGGCGGACAAAATAAGAATAAAATTTTATTGGAGAATGTAAACACTGTAGTAATGGGAGGTTCAATGCTTTAAATTTATAGAAATAGGCAATTTCTATTTTTGAAGATTTCAAGGCAGCGACGGGCATAATAAAAGTACAGAAAAACTAATTTTTCTGCAATTTCCATTTTTTCATGGTGGCAGATGCGCTAATTAGCCAAAAAAAAATTTGAGGGGCGGTGGGTTCACTTAAATAAAGTACAAAAAAGTCTTGCCGTGCCCATAATGAAAAATCAAGGGATGGTACCATGATTGGGCGATGCGAATGCGGCAGTACAACATACAAAATTATAACATACAATCATATTTGTAATTAAATTGACTTTATTGTATGTACCTTCTGGAAGAACAAAATATCTTCTATATGTAACTATTGACTCAGCAGTGACCCACTATGTACAGATTTTAACACTAAAACAAAGTGTACAGGCCAGCATTGAACCACAGAAAATACAACACATGATTAAAATATCCACAGTAAACAGTCACCTTCACGGAAACTGTATTAAAACATATTTGATCAAGCTGGATGGCAGCTTCAACAGTGGTATACATAGCCACAAATAATGCAGATATACATTGGATAGTTATTTTATATACAGTACATCTATATTTCATCCAAACATCCACATTGAGTCCTTCATGACAGCATATTAGCATGGAATACAAGGATTAAATTTGTAATCAAAATCAGGGTATTGTTCTTAAACATTTCATTTTAAAATTGATCAACATTTGGTACTGGAATAATTCTTGATTTAGCTTTATATACAGATTTTATATCAATAATCCAGGAGTAAATAAGACATTATCAAGGTATATTACAAATTGTATGCCATTAAAAATACAATTCAACTCCTTGACTGTATTTTTTTTCTTAAAACACTTGAGGTAAAATTATTTCTACAGAGCGGAAAAAAAAAAAAAACAGCTCTTTTTCTATTCAATTAAGGTGGGTGAGCAACAGAAAAAAAAGAGAGTAAAAATAACAGTAAGAAATGTTATTCTAGTGTAGGTAAAATGTAAATAAGATTATAAAACACAAAACAGTAGTTCATATACATTCTTTAGTATTGGCAAGGCTGGTAAACACTTCTAACCTTATGTGCAAAACTATAAATTCATTTATACAGACTTCTTTCACTAAACATTACAATAAAACAATCGTAGATTCTCCATTTCCTATATTCAGAAAACTGATTAAAATTTCAACAACCACTTTACATTAAAAAATACTTTGCAATTGGTCACTTAAGAATAAATCACACTATATTTAATTCATACATAACAAATTATGTATATATTTTGGTTATAAGGATAAGCAAAATTGTTTTCTGTGTAAATGTTCACATTTTATGTCAATCTATTTTATTGAAATCAATATCAAAACTTCTACTATATTCTATTACTATTCTGTCTTTGCTTGACCAGCAAACTGTAAAACTATCCTTCTTTAGATCAAACTAGGTACAAAAGACTGTCCTAAGGAGGATAAATTGACAAAGAATGCTGACCTCTAGAAATTTATAACAAACAAATTAAATTCGGCATTCAACATTTTATAGGATACTTGGAAGTTTATTGTGTGTACTGAATTTATTTGGTTTTAATTTTGGTACTGCACTGCCAAATCGAAAAATCATTTTTTTCGCAAAGTTTACATGATACAAGAAAGTAAATTTGGGTTCAGGCCCATTTAGATTCTAATTTTCATAATCTGTTTTGATATCAAATTTTCAGGTGGACATAATTCTAAAGTCCATGTTCTAAAAACAAATCCTATGCACAATACTGTAAATACAGTAGTAGCAAACATTTGAAATTGAATAGTTTATCATTAACATAAACATGTATACTATAGTTCCCCTGGTATAAGCCCCCACCCCCTGAACACAAAAGTGGGAAAAATTAACGGAGTAAGCTTATACCCAAGGATTGCCCTGTTCATAAAAACAACTTTTGACTCTCCATGAATGGCCAATCAAACGTTAAATCCAATTTAAAGCTAATCTTGGTTTATTTTCTGAGATAATGATTCAAAAATATTACCCTAGGCTTTTTTAGATGGGAAAATGCTGGTAAGTCAAAAGACGAATGTATAGGTTGGGGTGGGCATATACCCAAGGAACTACGGATGTATAATGATCTTCAGCATATGCCTTCATGGAAGTATGTTTCATTGTTTCTATCACTACTTGGGCCATGTTTTGTATTTTCACCCTATTTAACTTTTACAAGCAGTGCTGTAGAATCACTGTGTTTTCCCCCAAAACATATTTAATTGGCCTAGCAGATATTCAAATTCGTACCCTGGTTGATGCGTATCATAATTTAGTTTTGATGACACACAATTCTTATACCAAATATTTTTATTGAGTAGTTTGATCTTTTAGATAAATTCACTAGAATAACAAAATTGGTTAAATTGTTGGTTACCACTTGATTTAAATGTGTTATATAGGCCTACTAGGAACTGTCTAATGTCTGACTAAATAAACCAAATTACGTAAATAATTACCACTTTAAACTTAAATAACTATCTATGTTAAGTTGGCGCCTATGATCAATGGTATAAAATACGGAAGCGGGTATAAATATAACCGTTAACTATGATAAGATCATCTTACTGTTGTGTTTAGCTTGGAATTACTTCTATACCACTGTCGCACAATTTAATCTACTGAAAACAACCATGACTAGGCCTACTTTTAGTATCACAGCTATAATCATACATTTATTGTATCTAAAATTTCTTTTCCAGCTATATCAAGCCTGTGTTAGGATATGTATGCAAATATGCTAATATATTCAAGTTACTAAATTGCACAAAAGGGCAAAGGTTGACATATTTGATCAAGGCTATTCCTATATATTTGTTAACGTGTAATTTCATTTAACGACACTACAGACATACAGCGAATCATGAGACCAGCTATGGAACTGAAGCAATATAAATAAATATCACAAATTTTATAATAATATATCAAATTTGGAACCAAATTCATTGTAAAAATTCCAATTCATCCATCATATTAACTGTTAATTAATTGTCCTTTATTTAATATCAAAAAATAAATGCCTAGCTTCACAAATGCTAATATTGATATCAATTTCATTTTTTAAAAAACCCGAAAGAATTAGTATTAAATGATACAGATCAAAATATTTTGTATTCCTCATAAATTAAACATTTACTTTTTGGGAACTTCTAATTCTTGACATAACAAATTAATCTAAAATAAAGTAAGTAATTAGCACAGTTATAAAATGAAGATGCACCATATAAGTGTTCATTTAAACTATTACGTTCTACAAAAAATAAAAAAATAAATAAAATTGAAAATAGAAAGTATTTAGAGTATCTATTTCTTAGCAGAAGTAAAATTAAGAAAAAAAATTACTTCTACCCAATTTACACAAGACAGAATTTTACATGTTCAAGAGAAAATCCAAATTCACATTCATGTTCACACGTTCATACTCAAACCTTGCTAAAAGTCTGTATAATTTAATTGTTTTTTCTTTAGTTGAGAGCGCTAATTGTTTACGATCTAACTAGGCATCTTCGGCATTAACATAATTTATTGACCTATAGATGTGAATTTCAAATTGGATGATTAATAATATACTACAGTAATTATAATTATACCGTATATTTTTTTTGGTCGTAACAGCTAGTGAGGCAGATGGTGAAGATATATTTCACGCCATTGTGATCACGCACAGAATATCCAAGCTAAATTATTCAAGACTATTACAGGCCTCTGCGATGTTTGTTTTATCTTATATGGATATTGCATCGAAGAATGCAAACTCCACAGTGATTACACTGATTCAATTTGACATGGATGCGCTATAGGACTGGGGGGAGACATATGTTACATTCTCTGTTGTACTTGTCCCCTCTAACCTTTTGTCTTATGTGAACTGAGTATAATATTAAGATAAGAATAACTTTGGTTTCTTGTTTCCCTATTCTAATGTATTGCCAGTAATTTTGGGGTAACACTTGAGTTTCTTTTCTATTCACTCCTCTTCTAATGGAAAGTTGGAGCATCTGCAAAATGATGCATTTTTCTACTTGTCTTCTATACGGTGTGCATCAAAATCCAACTGTAGATCTTCTTGCTTAGATTTTTCAGTAAAATAACAATGTATCGTAAAATAATATTTTATCTAGAATATCTATATGAAACAAGGATTACAAAATATTATATTTTAGACATAACTTTGCATCTTTAAAGAATGGCAGTGGTTACAGGGAAACTGTCTACTGCCACAAAGTAATAGCATATATTGAAGAAACATTACACAGACCCAAGACAACATTCAGAAGCTATTTAAAAGTATATTAATTCAGATAAATACTAACTACCATTAAAATTATTATAGATTTATTATTATGAGAATATTTTGTTGACCTCAGATAAAAGAAACACGTTACTAGTACATTTTAAAAATCTATATAACTACACAATATATCTTGATCCCAACCACTGACGGAGTCTATATCATGTTATATAAGATGCAACCTCACCCCTCTTCTTTCATCACCTTGCTGTTCTAGGCTTGTCTTCATCTCCCATTCTAATACCCCTCTGCCCCCACCCCCCACACACCAAAAAAAAAATGTTCTTAGAATTCAGACCCTGCAAAACACATATTTGTTCACTCCAATAATTTATATTCTCATATGTCTGTTTCTTACATCATATCTGGTATGGATTTCTATGAATATTCATAGCAGATTACGATTGGTTGGGAAGATAATTGCAGTTTTAGAAAGCAGCATGGCTAATAAATATCAAGACTCTTATACAATATAACATTTGAAGAATTTCATTTAAGTAGTAGCCCAACCTGACACAGTATCTAAAGCTTAATAGTCCATACTATCAAGTTTTCAATGCCAAATACTTGTGATTTGCCCATATATGGGATGACATTACATCATCATACCCATATATGGACAGATCAGCATGGAAAGGGAGCTTAATACTAAATCTTGTTCTACAGATCTTGACAAATGTTTATCCTTATACAACACCAATCCAAGGGGTTACTGTAGATATTACAGAGATTTGTAAGATATTAAATATATTATTAGATCCATTAAATTACAGAGACACCAAAAGCACCATGAAATCTGTGAGCATATCATTCTCGTCTCTCCAGGTGACTGGAATGTGGATGTAGCTTAGATACAGTTACCACGGTTACAAGGAGGTCATACTACAGATACCTGTTCCTCATCTGTCAAGATACAAGAAAAATTAATTTTTTTTTTTTAGTTTATAAAGCATTCTCAAGAAATATGTTCTAACATTTTATAAATCATATGTAGTACTCTCTTAGTTTTAGCATATTGCATGTAATGTTTTTCTAATCAAAAATTGTTTTTTGGCTAAAATGTGCAGATACGAAAAGAAAAATGCACTTACCTGAATCGTAATAGTCACAAGACCTAGAACGTACACCACCTAAATTCCCTGCAATAAAATATGTGAACATTAATCAATACATTCTAATAACATGGAAACTACACAAACAATTACTTGGATAATAATTTGGCTTTAATATTTGACTGCCACCTACAAGAATAATCAACAAATTTTAAGTAAACACAAGTTCATTGGAAGTAATTTGAAAGTAATCAAATGTATGATTCTTATATCAATTAAGTTATGGAGTACTTTCAGCTTTTTGTATTCTAAAGTTATAGAGTTATTAATCAATCTATCAATCAGATTCAATCAATAAAAGTTGAAAAACAATCATTATTTAGTGGAACTTACTTGTCATTGTTTTTGCAACAGCATAATTTGGTGGCTTTTTTTCTATCATCTCTTGTCGTGGAGCACTGTAGAGTACAGCTAAGTAAGAAAACAATGAATGTTAAACCAATTACAAAGTCTGGTTTTAAGTGTTTTAAGCTCAAATAAAGTGATATACAGGGAAAAATGAGAGAAAAGCCAGTTGATGATAGAGATGGTATACCTACATTATGCATGTTATGTAAGAACAGTGAATTTATTTTGCATTAGTATTACTAACTTCAGAAAACATCATTTGCACTAATATTGTTACTTTCTACGTGCAAAGGATTAAGAAATAATTTCCATATTCATAACACCAAATAGAATGAATTTCATTTTGATGAGCACATCCTAAAATCTAATCAAAAGCTAAATATGAAACAATAGATAATTATTAAATAAAAAAAATAACCCCCAAACATAAGGAAAATATAATACATAAGATCAATAAAAAAAAACAATAATGAAAATAAGTAAATTAAATAATTAAAATAAATTATCAATAAAATAAAATACAATATATACAATTTAAAAACAACTAAAATAAATACATACAATAGAAAAAAAACTAAATAAAAGACAACAAAATTGGGCATATGGTCACACAGGTTGTAATGTAACTAAAGCCATGTTTGCATTAGATAAATTTTGGCCAAGACAAAGGGTAACTTTACTTTGGTCAAATCATACTGCTATTAGCACTTGAACATAAATACACATTATGCTATATTGAGCCTATATCTAAGGACAGGTAATAGAATTTTGAGCATGTGTGGTCAATCTAATTGTAAGTATAAATTCTATCATAGCAGCAGCGAAGCAACTTCAGGGTTATTATGAGAGGGCACACTACTCACCATGAAGCACAAGGCTACTGGAACCTGTGAAGTGTAGATGTCGTGCGCATTGTTCATAAATTTGATTTATTGACACGCAGCTTTTCACAAAATATTAGTGAATATCGCTATTGAATAAACAAGTAAGTCCAGCAGAAACAATTTATTTAATTCCTTGAATTAATATTGGTAAAATATGGTTTTGTAAATTTCATGAAAGATAAGGAATGAAGTTTTAGCTTATTCTCTGAAAGAATTAACATATTCACGCTGTTTTCATTTGACATTTACTATACTTGGGGAAAATTCAGCCTGGTTATTTTTTACGTGGCAATTTTTGTTTGGTTACCAAAGGAATTTATTACACAGGCTGTACATACTGGATAATGTTAATCTAACTAGTGAGGTACATGTTTACTTTGATCAAAGAGAGTCCAATCCAAACATGGCTTCAGTAATTAACTTATCTACATTTACGCTGAGTCATCAAGCTGATTGGGAACATGTTGCACTAATTGCTCACTATACAATTTACAATTTCGCTCAATAAATCACACTTAACAAAATACAAGAATTACTTTTTTTAATCCACAAAATGGTAATCATGATGTTGAAGTAAACATAAATTACTTTACTGTAAATGGGATAATGATAATAGCTAACATAAGAAATGATGATGGTGACACTGAAAAAATGGTGATGACTGATCGAAAATAACAATAAAATAAGGGATGATGAATGATGATAATGCTAACACTGAAGAAATGATGATGATGAAGATAACGATGTTGACACTAAAGTAAGAATAAGGATGATGATGATAATGAAGTAAGAAGTAAAGGATGATGGTTGATGATGACACTAAAAAAATTAATGACAGAATAAGACTTCCTAGTGGAATTCATTTTGTATGCTGGGGCAGTATTGTTATAAGGAAGACAAAAATGATGATGATGATGATAATAATGATGATGATGATGATGATGATGATGATGATGATGATGATGATGATGAGGAAAGTATAGGATTTAAAATTCTACCACCATCTTACACCGACTACACATAATCTGCTACCACCTCCACCACTACCAAGCAACATTTAATACTACTCTCACAATAAAGCAATTCCTACTAGGCTCAGATTTCACATAGACAAAAATGTTTGCTGCTCTCACGCACAATTATCGCCTACCACTAGCCTCACAATAAAGCCACAATAATCAGTGACAGATCCACAAGTGATGGATGCCTCCCCTCCTCTGATCAAGCATAAAACCATTTAATAAAAGTTAAAATGGCTAAAACTTTGGGTTTGCTAGGAAGGCATGGCCTCATACCCCTATCCCCTTGAATTATTCATCTTGAATTGGCACTTTGTTTCCCTGGCAATACATTCTGGATCTGCCCCTGAAAATAATAATTACAGCTAATAGCAGTACTGCAGAGTACATAGCCCTTCAATTGACAATTAAAACATTTTAATAATAATTACATTTCTATTTGGTATCACAAAACATTGTTGTTCTTCACTTCAACAATCATAATTAACTATTTGTACTGTTTTACAAGACATACAAAAGTTTTACGCAAATCATATCACGTAAAAAGACGTTAACAAAACTATATAATTAACTGCTCTACCGTTATTAATACATCAACATGATTTAGTTTGTAAAAAGCTGTAAGTATCTATGGAGTCTTGTTATTGGTCAGATGACTGATCTACCAACTAACAACTAGCAGTTGTTGCTGAGATGAGAACAATTTCAAGACTTAATGAGGATGGTTTCAAAAAAGTTATATAACATTTTTGTATTTTCTACAAAAAGACAAACCTCCCGACTGAGCAGGGAGGGACAAAGTTTGGTGCTAAAGGTTGAAGGTCAGCTGGGAGAGTAAAGAAAGCACAACAAACAGATGAATCTAAATGATTTTTATGAGTAATGAAGCAGTTAGATCAAGCTGTTAAAATTAAACCATTACAAATAAAATTTTATCTTCAAATTATAAATTAAAAAAAAATTTTTTTTTATATAGTTAGTAAAATCAATACAAATTAACAAGTAAAAATAAAATAGTGAGTTGTGCATCAGTTGTTAAATGTGCAAATAAATTTTTTAAAAAAACAAAAATAAAAACCCAAATTTTGGTAAATCAAAAATCATTTCTGTTGTTGCTTGACCTTATTAGCATTGTTAATGAATGATGGACCTCGTTAATATGAACAAAATGAAGCCAAGCCACCAAGAAAATTCTAAATACTAAGGGGAAAAAAAAGGAGAAAAACAAAGCATGCTGTCTATGAAACAGAGATGTACATAATAACGAAAAATGAGTTGCAACTAAATGGCAAATAAAATACAAAATAAAATAACGCATGCACCCAGCGTGTGACCTCTACCTAGTGAAGAAGTAGATCTCTTTCTAGCGGTATTATAGTCGGGAGGTGTCAGCATCCGGTGTGCATGACCATTGTCAGGTGTATCTGCAGATCTCGGAGGGGGCGAGGTGTAGATCGATGCTGCTAGAGAATAGATGAAATTTTACGGAAATTAGTGGATAGAACCGGGCATAAAATAAATTTAAAATGAAACAAACAAAAGTGAATTTGTGAAAATTGTGAATTAAATTTTAAAAGAAACACATTTTGTTTCATTCAAGTTGTCATGCTTTAAACATAAAAAGTGTCAACAATCTATAATTTGAATGTACTTACCTTTGAGAATTTTAATAAATTTTAAAAGAATTATAATTATTTATTTTTATTATTATTATTAAAGAGATGTTAATTAATTAGAATGCAATTAATTGATATAAAGTCTAATTATAATTAAATCTCTGAGTATTAAATTAATAATTTATCTATAAACTAATCAATTTCTAATAATACCAGATAAAAAATAGTGGTAACAAATAATACACTGATGTTTAGCATGCATTGCAATCAAATATACAATGGAATAACAAAAACATATACAATATCATACAACACGCTAAACATGCAGACAATAAAGAGATGATCTACAGTAATGTAAAAAACAGCACCATCTATAAAATATAGCCTTCTGAACATAGAGAGGGTGCTTCAATATAGAAGTCAATTAAATAAATTATAATGACACCTTGTGCTGAGCTAATCATTGTCTTGAGTTGCGGTAAATGTTTCCCGATTGACATTGTACTGTAAGTTGATTTGATGATAGACTGGATCGAAGTTCAGTTGAAAAAGTTAGGCTTTAAACTTATTCTATCACTTGAAAAATGTTTTCAATCTACAATAAACCTCTTTAAGGAGTGGTGTAAAGCTCTATCAATACTTTTATGTGACAAATGTGTGTGATGAGCACATATATGGACATGATGTCATCACATCACACCCATATATAGGCATGCTACAGGTATTTGTCATATAAGAAAGTGATACTGCAGACAGAGCTAAGAATAATGAATGAAGGTGGTAATATGTTGATCTTTGAGACAGTACTGAAAGTGGGACTATGGAGGTATATTGTGACTAACAAAATAATGTTTTTCTCAGGTAGAATTTGCTTAAGATAGCTGATGTTTCATCCTTCCAATATAACATTCATACAGAGATACAGAACAACCTACAAACCTTACAATATAATCTTATAAATCAATATCAACAAGAATTTTAATAATAACATCAGTAATACACATTTCTATCGCTGACACAGTGAAAACTTGCAATACAAAGATAAAAATATTTTACGGATTTTTCAAGATCAGATAAATATATCAATAACAAACTTGTATATAAATATATATTAGCCAAAAACAAAATCAGTGCCCAACCATGTGATGTGGTTAATCGTTACGGTATTATCACACTTCAAAGCATTTCACAGCACTGGGGGAAAAAACCCATTCACCGACCATTATGTAGATATATTGTTAATAAACAGTTCCTATTTATAAGAAATACCTCTGCAATCATTTCACAAGAGCATTAATAATGATATGAACATTTTTTATGATATTGAGGGCTGTCTTACCTGGCTCTCGCTGGCCTTTCCTCTTGTCCTTGACTGGCGGCGATGCCGAGCCTAGTGACGAGTTACTCTGTGTGTCATAGTTGGATGAAAGCCCACTTTGACCTGAGTCAGAGCTTTCGTACGAGCTGCTGAATGTTATTGAGGGTGGGCCTGAACTGCCTGCTGCTATAGGGTGAAAATATGTCAAAATATACATTTTAGAAACATTAATATATTTGCATCTGTGATGCTTTGAGTTAGAATGTGTTAGTCAGTGAAAGATTAAAGTTGGAATGTTTTACAATGAAAGACAGATACTTCAACACAACAGATTTATTAGCAAAATATAAATCTTAAGAGCAATTTTTTTCAAATGTTTACTGTAAAAATCGTTCAATTGATAAGATAATTAATTTCAAGATGAGGAACCAATGCTATAATACTTTATGTATTCATGTTAGTCATGTTTGATGGGTAAGCTGAAAATTGAATAACTGATAAACAAGTACAAAAGAAGCAGGTCTACAAATGTTAAGAACTGAAGTCAAGAACCCGGAAAAAAACAAATTGTTGATATGTTGTACAACTGATTTTTCAAAGACATAAAAAGGCGTATTTGACGTAAAACTTGAGAACGGTTAATGAGATACAGATTTTTGAATATTTAAAAACTGTAGAAAAAAGGTGAAAAAAGGGGTAGTTACATCACTTTTTCCTGAAGTTTTTAAATATTCAAAAATCTATATCTGATTTTATTCCCGAGTTTCCCAGCAAATATGCTTTTTGCGTCTTAGAAAAATCAGTTGTACAACATGTCAAAATAAAAGTTTCCTCCGGAGCCTGAATTTAGAATCAACTAAATTAGGTGAGTATAGGAAAATTAACTCATACCACAAAATATAAAATACAAGTTTAATTATTAATTGTAATAATATAATTGGTAAAAATCACATCAAGTTCACAATGGCATAGAAAAAATATATTTTAAGAAATTATTTAACTATAAATAAATTAACAAATAATTTTTTACAGAATGTACAGAGTAATTTATAATTTAATAATATCAATATCTCAAAATTCTTATATTCCAATATGCCATGGTGAACCTCATGAATTCAAGACAATGGTGTGTAATATATTAGAACCGCTTAGAAGAGAGAGTCAGTATGGGAGGAGAAACATCTCTCGGAATGTCAAAATCATAGTAATTTTATATAGTTTGTGTTTTACACATTTGAGAATTCAGTCAACACATTTTTGAGCAAACATGACAGTTACATGTAGGTCATAGACAAAATGTAATTGACTTTATGTTAATTTAGGAGTTTTGTTCAATTATGTCTGAAAATATCTCAATTTTACATGGAAAAAATAAAATCTTAAGAAAACATAATTACCACCACATAAAAAATGAGGAAAAGAATGTAAAACTAAGGGGTAATTCATTATTTTAACACGTTTTAGAGTGTACAAACAATACATGCGACCCCCTACCCCTTCCCAGAAAAGTAAACAACAAAATAGTGATGGTTGTCACTTTTAAATCTCATCATACTGCCTTAAGCTGGCAAACATTTCGACGATGCGCTTCTATAGAGAACGCAACGGATTGTTTTTAATGACAATTACAGACAGCTTTGTGTCGTCTAGCGCTCAAAAATAGCGGAGATGAATTTGTCAGCCAATGGCCGTATGACGCAGTGTGTCTGGCTTTATTCATATAAAGAACACACACATTGTTGACCCTTCACCTACAGCGTGTTTGTAAATTCTAATAAAAATGATTCAAAAAATGATGGTCCCTAAAAGCTGAAACCAGAAAAGGACATTTAAGAAATAGATAATGTTATCAACAATTTATTAGTTAAATAATTAAAATTTGAAAATAATACCCCTTAATTAGTTTCAAGCAATAACCTCAAGCAAACACAGGACTGCAAACCTATTTTTAAAATCCAACCCAAGAATGTGGAAAGTAGAATATAGAGAAATATGATTTTACCAAAGAGAGGGTTCAGGAGTCTGAATTTCCGTAGGACTAAAAATACCGAAACGGTTATAAAATATTTTCACAATAACATATCTTTTGCATAAGCAGGTATTGAAATGAGCTTTCATCTATAACTACTAATATGTATTCAATATCTTTCTAATAAACCATGAAATGCATTCATTTATATGCTAGACATTTATTATAATGGAATTATAAAATGACTTGTCTATACCTATTAGCATCATTAATCTTTTGCTACTAGGAAACATATATTTTACAGGGCAATACAGATTACTCTTCTATTTGTTTACAATAAAGAAAAAAAAAATATTTTCATGGCAAAAAACCATGGGTGAAGGATGTTCATGTGGGTATGTTGTTTAATTAAGGAATGAATGAATGAGGTAAGAGCTGAAGTCATGTAAATGACATTTATACCAAAATAATTTTCCTTAAGGTACTAAAATTTAATAATATTATAGGATGCAAAAAATGAAAAAGCTATCCTCCAAGTTAAAGATACTGTTACTTTAACCATGGAGGAATTAATTTAAACTAAACTAATTCCTCCATGCTTTAACAATGGTGCATCTATAGACATGATGGCGAAGGATGCAATGCTAGCTTATAAAAATATTTAAATTGTATAATTACTCACTACAATAATAATATAAATCTATATGATAATTATTGTAGGTTGCAAGTTTTTTATTTTAAAGTTATGTTCACCAACTATCTAAAAAACTTTCAAATTGTATTATTATGCATAAAACTAATAAACTTTTTACGGTATAATCCCAAGAGGGAAGTTACATTCTGCCTCCTAAAATGCTGCAATATACTACTACTATCTTCTCTGGAACACTTGTTTCTGCATAAACTGATCATGCAGTACCTGACTGACGTCATATCGCTGTATTTTCATAAACCAAACAAGCCCTAGATTACATCTAAGCGCAATGTTTCTCTAAAGATTTTTCTGTAGAAGCAATTGAGAAGGATTGGAAAGAAGCGCAACTGTGAAAACAAATGAAAATCTGGTTTCTAAAAAGGAAAACATAAAATAAAAAAACCAAACACAAAAATGATCCAAAACATTATAATGTACCGTATGAATGTAATGAAAATAAAATGAACGGTGCAAATACAAAAAAAAAGAGGCAAAATTCAAAAGTGCAGATAAAAATAAATATGATACTAATCAAAGAAAATGAAATGATCATGCAAAACATAAACATGCAAAAACTAAGAGGCAGTAAGCAACTGAAGGCATAAGGAACAGGGAGAAAATAAATAAGCGAGTGTAAATATTGAGGAGGGAATTTTAATAATTCACAGGTGGTGTAAAGAGCAGCAAATTGAGGAATTTTAATTTTTTTCTGGTCATCGGTCCCAAGATGTTTTAAAAGAGATTATTAAACCTCTAATTTTGATAAGTTGAATAATTTATTGTTATTGAATATATGTATCCCTTTATATTAGCAAAAATAAGAAAATCAAAGCTTGCAGTTAGTTAAAAAGCACCAGTAATCTAATATGTTAGTTAAAACCAAATTAAAGCAAATAATTTTCCCAAGGCCAATTTTGTTTTTTTTCCAATTTTGAAAATTCCAATTGAATTGTCTTCAGTATTCCATGCAGCATTCACTGGTAATGAACCACAATTTTAGTTGAATCCAATTTCTTTGAAACAAAATTTAGAAAAAGATAAAACAGACAGAAGAACCAATGCTCCAATTTTAGTAGTTTGCTGCCCTCAGGAGTTCACGGCAAGTGGGATTGTTTACTCACCCACCGTATGCCTTCGTTTGTAATTGTACATGTCCAGACTACCCATACTACTCATGCTAAGCCCGCTGTCACTCCGTTGCGACCGCAGTAGGGGTGGAGCAGGGTTCATACCTGTGTCTCTGGTCCCCGGCACCTCTTTCCTGCGCCCGTGCGGCTGCATTTTGGGTGAGTGCCGGGGAGACGGCCCCTTTGAGCTGTTGTTATTTGCAGCAGAAATGCGATTGAAGGGCATAGATTTTAGTCCTCTGTCGCCCTCTTCAGATAACATTAGAAGCTTGTGAAGGGTGGTTGGTGAGGTGGCCCCTAGTGGAGAAACCGAATAACAAACAATCAGCTGGGGGCCACCATTTTTGCAGACCAGTCTTGTCATAGCAATTGTTGTAATTATTAAACACTTTCACATATCTCACTAAACCACATTCCCACAACAAAATCAGATATACTAACATACACACAATGGAAGAATTACAAAATTATAATCATAAAATGCAAATGTTCACATAAAACAAATAGGATTTCTTATCTCAAAAACTGGTACAACTACTAAAACATGCAAGTAATATAAAAATAAATTCAAAGATAGAATCCATAAAAAATGCAAATAAAAGTAAATTGTGATCTTAGGTACAAAAAATCTGCATGCATTCCCATGATAAAATACAATCTTCAAGAAAACTATTCCTAACTATCTATTGTTTGATTATTTGTATATTTAATGGTGATTTATATAATACCTTTTCTTTTTTAGGTGACATTTTTCTAAAATGTCTACAAATAACACAAAACTGACTTATTTACTAAAAGTCTACAACTTCTTTGGAAAATCATTAGGTATTACCTACACTTGTCATTGTCCAGTAACAACTAATACTAAACACTCTAAATAACACTAATGCACAGTATTACCATAACAAATTAATGTTACATATGTTATTGTTTATATAATATGAGATGTTACATGGTTCATTTCATTTTCCTATTTCAAAATAGCCTGAGTCATTTTATTTAACAGATGATTCATAAAAAAATCTATATAATTAGGTAGGTAAAGACAAAAAGTATGAAATATGATGATTTGAATTTTAGGTTAATGATAATTATTGAATTGGAATTACAAAATAGAAAAAAAAACTTATTAAAAAAAAACACTTTAAAAATGTGCATCATGAAACTAAATATATATACTCAATTAAATACATGTTTTTAATTACAACTTCCTAAATAAATAGATTCATAAAAATAATAATATAAATAATTAAAATTTCAACATGAAGTAAGACCCAGAAAAATAAATGAGATTGATGTCTACCTATTAAAAGTGTAATACTTTCTAAAAACAAACAATTAATGTGTAATTTGACTTGAAATTAAATATAGCCTTTTATTAATTAAATGAAAATTTATGTCACCTTGAATAAATTAACAGATAAATAATTTATTCATTTAATAAATAAATAAATAAATTTATGAGTGCAATTTGACAAAGATATAAAAATAAAATGAAAATTAATGTCTCCTTATTAAATAAATAAATAAACAGTCAATTACTTCATTAATATATAAACAGCTAATGAGTGTAATTTTACTTGAATAAAAAATTAAACCCATTAAAAATGAAAAGTGAATTGATATCTCACCATGTAAATTTATGGATAAATAATGAATTATTTAATAAATAAATCAATCAATCAGTAAGTGGAACTTGACTTACCAAATGATGTTTTGGGAGCGTCTTTGTATATGATCTTCTTTATCTGATCGTTCTTTTCGTTTTTCTTGACAGGCGATGTGACGACATTGATGTTTGTTTGATTGACTGCGTTGACAGCTAAATCTGGTAGGGACTTGCGTCTAGATAAGGTACCCGTGTTTGAACTTGGGAGAGGCTCACATTTGAGGGAAAGCTCTCGTAACTCCGTCTCGTTGGTTATCACATGCATGTTTTGAAGATACAGGCGAACTCGTCGAGCCATCTGAGCCTGTAAATATGAAGAAAATGAAAGGTAATAACAATGATCTATTATCTTTTATCTTAAAGGTTGCTATGAAGCATTAGGGTTTTTTGCTTCACAATGTTAACTTTAACAGATGATACCAAAATTTATTCATCTTGCGCTGAGGAGTACATTAATTTCAGGATTTTACAGACTCGATGTATGTTAGTTACAGATTTGCGTATGCATATTTCGATTTGTTTACAGAAGCGGGGGAGCTATCGCGTTGCCCGTTGGGTACTAACATTTAAGTTAAGGTTAACGTCCTGCAGCGAAAACTACCTATTATTAAATATTTAAGGGAAGACAAATTGACAATTTTACCTCTTCCCACATCTTCTTGGGGTTGAGGAAGGTTGATCCACGCTTAGCGGTATTGTTCTTCTTTCGCTGTTGTTGCGTAGGACCAGACACAGCAGCAACGACAGCATGGGCGACACTTGGATTGGGGGCACCAAACACTGAGGATTGATCAAACATTCCTCTTGGATCCTATTGATAAAGGAAAAGAAAATGTTACATTGTAAAATGTGATGTATTCTCACAAAACCCAGATATAATATTTAAATTCTCTAGTAAAAAAAATTATTGGATTCAACTTACGTATGGTGTAGATGCCATGCCCATTATAAAACGGACTTCTTTTGCAATCATACGCAACTTCTCAAAATTAATGAGGCCCTCAACTTCAGAGTCGTTACCAAGGTGTATAAAGGTCAGATCCTTCTTAGTTATTGGAAAAAATGGAATCTAGAAAATAAAAAATAAAATAAAATTTTGATTATAAAATTTTCAAGCCAATGTAAACTTTATTAAATACTGACAGAAAAGAAAGTCATAAATAGTCATAGTCTTGGCTACAGTTTCTAAGTGAAATTTTATTCATGAACAAATGAATAAATAAATATACTCTTAAAACTACTATACAAGGTCAAAATCTTTACGATAAATATTATTTGGTGATCCTGTCTCATTACAAGGTGAACATTTTCTCTGTGTTTTGTAATTATTTTGAAAGTCATCCAAACAAATTCAAACACCAAATTTTAGTGTTCAAGCTAATAATTGTAACATAAATTTCTAATATGCACACCAACATGAAGGCTGAGAGCACAGTGTCTTAAAAAGAGCAGTAAGTGACAGTAGTAGAAAGTGAAGAACATATGTATATGTCTTATTAAAATAAAGTTATTATTAAAAGACTCACTGTAGGTGGATGTACATGCTCAGCATTTACTAGATTCCGATACTTGGACATGTTTCGTGATGGGTCCATGAGATCTTGCAAATCTACAAATGTCTTCGTATATTTGTTGGGTAACTTGTCCCACGTGTTGCGTAGCCGCGACACTGAGCCGTGTCCTAGACCGCTAATGATTGCAAACATGGAGTTGAAGTTCTTGGTGTCTTTACAATGTCCTGATGAAAAATAATTTTCATAGTTTGTCGTCATTATATTAATGGTTACAAATAGAAAAAAATAAAATGAAATATAAAAATACCTATTTAATAAATTTATTTAAAAAAACTGGACAGTATGTATATGCATGAGAATTTGAATTACAACATCTTCCACATATTTAAGTCTAAGGAGTCAGCTGCAATTCAAATGTACAAACCCCTCTTTTAGTCTAATGAGGGCAATATATAAAGGGCAAATTTCTGAATAATTATTGGTATGTAAACTTACTGGCTAATTTGATATAATGTTTGATAATCTTCATTCGCTTTATGATGTTTGGTTCGCTACATATTTCTGTTACAACCCAGAACATCTCCTGGTTCACCAGCTACAAAGATTAAAAGACAACATATTCAACTTCAAATTATGATACTTTAAAACCATTTAGATAACAATAAAAACATCTATATCTTAAATAAAATAGATTATAACAAAAACAGATAGAATTTTATATAACTAACATCATTTAAAGTAAGAAATCACATATTAGTTATTTTATCCTCAAAGGAGAGACAACAATGGTAGCTGCATGCCCAAAAACAGGATGCTACAATGTTACAAGATTTGATAACCTACAGCCTCTGTTTCTAATATAAATATTTAAAAATACAAAGCAAATCCAATCTATAACTTTACAAAATAGACAAAAAATGCAACCATGTTTATCTTTTAAAAAACCGAAGTACTGTAAAAACATTGTGAAATACTTACCTCCTCAAAAGCTTTTAAACGATCGGTGCCATGCTTAGTTTTGATCTTGAACAGATCCTCGATGTACTCTGTAGGCTCAATGTTTTGGAACACTTCAAAATCCTTTAGAGTAAGCTGGACAGCAACCTCAGCTGTGTTGAGTTGCAATAAGCTCACTTGGCTTTCCTTCATAAGCTCCTGAAAATAACAACATAGTGCAAATTTAGTAGGATGATAATATGTATCTAGCAGCCAGAGGCTATGACTCAAGATTGATCCCACTTCAGAAGACACCGACCATCAATATTAAGATGTAAACGCCAATTCAACTGAACTTGCAAAACATAATTCCTGATAAAGTCTTAAGGCTCCACCAGCAACAAATTACAGGTAAGAAAGTGCAAAAAATAATTGGAAGTAATTGCCATAAATTAATTGAAAAAAAAAATCAAAAAAAAAAAAATCAGTTTTGGGCATTGCCCTTCTTCACCCTCTCCATCAACTTAAAATTTACAATAATGTAAACTGAAAAAAAAAAACAAAAAAAAACTTACAACTGCAATATCATCTGTAACTAGTGGTTCCGAGCTTTCATTGTTTTTCAGGTATAAGCGTCCATTTAAGCTGAGCTTTTCAGCAATGTTCTGCATATGTTCTGGAAAACGTTTCTGCTTAATCAGACCTTCATTCGCAACGGTGACCTCACACAGGGAAAAACGGCCAAAGTTTTGTGGGCCAGTAAGACCAAACTCTTGCATTGCCAGCATCACTACCTCCTTAGCAGATGTTTCCTATAAACATAAATGTACAGCATATTATTTTTTGCTATATTTTGACAAGAATAGTACAATATTATGCTTAATATAATAAAAATTGCAAAAGAATGTTTCAAATGTCAACAAAGATTAAAACCTAAATATATATATTAAATATTTATTTTTAAATATTTTCATCTATTTTAGGCACAAGGGTCAAAGATATGAAACTTTAAGTAGTAATTAATATCACAGGACAAATATAAACACAAGATGTTCTAGGAGTGGGTTGGTTTCACCTAAGGAATTGAGCCAGGAATTGGAAGACAAACATAAGCATCTTACCCACTAAGCTCCATCTCCACACCCTCGCAGAAATGCCCACAGACTCATCCCTTTCCAACATATTTTAAATCATGTGAGAGCGACTTACAGGTTTATAAATACTGGACTTACCTTATGTACCAGAAAGTACTTGCAACCAGAAGGAGGGTCTGTGACAAACACTTTCAATACATGTTCTGGATGATCTGGCATGCCACTCCAGATGGGTTCATAGAGTTGCGTTGAAAGTGACGTCAGGTCAGGATTACTACTGCTGTGATGGAGACTACTACCACTAGACTGACTACTGGTGGTGGTCGACCGTTTCAAAATTGTATCATCCTGAGCCCTCCTTTGTTCACTGGTAATATGAATAATATATTAAAATATTAAATACAAACAATAAAATATATCTTTTAGTATATGAAGTTTTAGGAAGAATACATTCAAAAATAGCTAAAGATGGAAAACCAATGAAGAGCATAAGTATAGTTATCCACAATTCTCTATTTTATGCATGTTGAAAAAATAAACAGCCTCTTTACACACACAAACTAATTAATAGAGAAAGCAATATGAATTAATAATGTAATTTAGATATAACAGGACTTAATTGTTTTCAATGTAAAATATAATTCAATCACATGGATAAAAACATCATAAATATATATTGAAAGGCAGATCTAGAGAGGGTATAGGAGGGGACACACCCCTTTTCCATCGTTTGACTGAGAAACCTGAGATGAGAATATGACCATGCCCATCACTGTACTGTTTTTCTATATCTGATCCCTCCATAGCAATAGCGTACCTAGGAGTATTGATACAGGCACTTACGATGGATAATTGCCATCTTAAGTAAGTAAAAAGTTGAAAATAAAACTCACGTTCCTTCCATGGATTTATTTGGCAGTATACTAAGCTTAGCAATAGCCTTTCTTAGCTTCGTCTTATGCCCAATGGACCCATGCCCTTTCTTATCCTTTTTGTCCTTAATTTCTGGTGAGACACTTGCATCTGGCATGGTATGCCTAGCACGAGGGTCAGCTTGTAGAAGAGCAATGTCTTGGCTTGCTCGTCGATGTGAATTGTTCCTACCTTCCTGGGATGCCAGTAAATCTCTAAAAGCTGGAAAGAAATATGAATTATAATTTTAAAAATTCTTTTGCTGATAGAATCAACATTTCCTTAGAATCTATGTGAATAGACAAATATTTGCAAATTACTAATTTATTATTTATATTTATTTTAACTAATCTTGCATGCTTGGTCAAGACTGAATGAAATAAACTGAAAGAAATCATTAAATTAATCCACTATGTACACATTTTAAACTTTAATTTATAGGCTACATTAAAAAAATAAATATATTTTCAATTACAAAAAAGAAAATAGAAATACACAAAAAAATTGAAATTTTATTTACTTTATTATTCATTGATAAACCATGAATTTAATGAGTTTTCTTTCTTGTATTACATTCAACGTATTTAAAATAATATTAAAATGATTACCTAATGTGTTATACTTGACTGTAATGACAAGATGTGTGGTTCCTTGAATGATGTCAAGCGCCTTCACATGCATCATGCGATCAAAATTATGACCATTTACCTCGTGAATCTGGTATGTGTGAAATGAGAAAACATAATGCGAGTTAGCGGGGAAAAATATCACAAACAAATTACATAAATAATAAAAAAATAATAATAATAAATAAAAAATAAAAAAAATATCCTTAACCAAGAAACCATAAGAGGTAGTATGGAGTGGCATTGAACAAATTTTGACCACAACAATATATGTACACATAAGGTTTTATCGATACTGTGGCTAAAAACTATTTGACCATATATGGAGATGATGATGTCATATCACATCCATATATGGGCAAACCAGTTACTCACATAAATAGTGTAGACTGAGCAGCATTTACATTTAAATGTTGTATTGTATGCTTAATGCATCATCTAAAACAAGAGTAACTTTCACATGTATTAATTTTCACAATAATTTCTATTGTTTCTCAATGCATTTTTTTTCCTAAATTCACACATACGTTTGATGGGCAAAATACACAAAGTAGTTTGAAATGAATTATTACACTTAATGACAAATAGAAAAGTAAAATGATAGACATTTCAAATTTTATGATTCACTGCACCATTGGTCGATGACATTATAAAACCAAACCGACAGACAGTCTCAAATAAAAATTAACAGACTCATTAAACAAATATACAGTTATTTCTTTTACTAATAAATGGATAGATTTTTTTTTCAGTAAAGATTTAAGTTCATATTTATACAAAAACCGAAAGGTCCACTGATTAATCTCAGATAAGAAAGTATAATACATACGCCAAGTATTGAAATACACGCCATCGTGTTGGGATTCAATATTTCGACATTAATTATGTCATCATCAGGAAATGATAACATAATTAATGTCGAAATATTGAATCCCAACACGATGGCGTGTATCTCAATACTTGGAGTATGTATTATACTTTCATATTTATACAACATATTTATATTTATTTGCATTAAATGTTTTAAAATAGGATCTTTGAAGTATAAAACAAAGATCATATTTTATATACTGATGAATATATGACCAAAATTGAATTGTATATAAATGAATTACACTGCTTTACTAAATGTCCAAAATACAATAATATCTGATCCAACTTTTATAATTATATTGTTTAAATCAACCCATCCTTTGTAGATCTAACCTCTAATGACAAATTTAATTTGTTAATAAGTGGCGGCAACCACTGTTATAGGGTACTGTCGGTAAATTTGCTTATCAAATCCTCTCCTTACATAAAACTATTGTGTTTAAGTAATTTATATTTTAAGAAATGTTTCTATACTTTGTTTAAAAAATTTTTTAATTGTGTATTTTGCATGTTTTTTAATATATCTAGTTTTTCAATCACAAGCCAGAATTGGCTGGTCTCAGTTTTGAGTGTTTCATTTTTCATTTATTCAGCTGGTTTCCCAAAAAGAGATTCTAGATCTCTGTCAGAATCTCCTTTTTGTGAAGCCAGCCTCCTTTTTGTCTGTCCTTTTTTTTTTATAGTATAGTATCTGTTTTATAATATATAGGACCGTCTTATTTTTGTTCATTATTTTCTATGTGTTCAGGTTAGCGAATCAAGTAAATTATAATTTATTGTTGATTCATTGATTTTGTGTTTATATTCTTTAAGTATATTGAATGCCCCAAAACGTGGACTAAAAAAAAAAACCACGATGGATATATTTTATATTTTTTACCACATATCTTAACTCACTTTTAGTATATTTATACTCCTGCACTGAAACCTAGAATCATAAAAAAAAATACTAGGAAGTTGTCTGGTGGAAGATTTTATTTATTATTATTATTATTTTATTCATGCCAAGCCTTTTAATGCTACAGTATTTCTAGGTAAATAATTTTTTTTATAAGAATTTATACTTAAGAATACTGAAATAAGAGACAAAACTTTATAAACTATTTTACTAAAAACAAGCATTCTCCTCTATTATGCACTAATGTAATGCATTATCATGGTTTTTTCTGGTGTCATGAATCATTAAACCTGAAGAAGCAATGGTACAGAAAGCTTACATTTTGTTCAAATAGTCTGAAATAAAGTGTAAGATTCCATAATGTAGTTCACACATTTTTACCTGGTAATATTTATATTACTATTAATATGATGATGATACGTGCTGCTAAGTTTTGAAGTGTCTGTAGTTGGTAAATTTTAGATTTTTAGAAAGAAAACTGCAACAATCAAGTCGAGATAAAACAAAAGCTTTTTATATATATTATGATCAGGAAATGCAAAATAGTATGACTTGAATTTAATTGACTTATTAGGCCTTAAATGGAAAATAGTTATAGCGTACCTAAGGACCAATAAATAATAATTTAAATATATTGTTAATTGGTTATTGTGTATCAAAGGACCAATAAAGAATAATTAAAATATATTTCTCACCTGATCACCTCTCCTTAAGCCAGCTTCATGTGCCTTGGAGCCCTTTTCAACTTTAGATATAAATAAACCCATCTTCTTTTCCCACCCACCAATGATAGTAAAAGACAACGGAGAGGTCCTATCAGAACGAGCCTAAAAGAAAAGAAAAACTTCATGTTGAATAATGGAAGCTATTTTAACAATTTCTGCATTATTAAAAAAAAAAAAAAAAAAAAAAAAATCTTGTTTCTTCTTCAGAAATATCAGATTGTGGTTGTTGAGAAAAGCAAGTTCCAAGCAATAAATATTACATATCTTTAAATCAATTTGACAACATAGATGGGGGGGGGGGAATGTGCAAATGCCAACCCCCACCCAAGGAAGCAAAAACTTATCCCCACTTACCAGGGTCACAGTTCTCTTCTTAGCCTTAGCAGCACCAGCAATATGTAGTAACCTTAGCTGGCCTGACATATTCTAAGTGAAAAAATAAAAAACGAATACATTATAAACGGCCATCAAGTTCATTTATCGGGGTCATCGGCTGGACTGTATATTTTTCATTACAGGTAACAGGCCATTAACCGATTCATCTGTGATAAAATATAAAATACTATCTCCGACAGAGAGCCGAAGCCGTAAAGATTACTGTAAGGCTTGGATTGAGTTGGAAAATGGATGTGCTCTCGCTGTTATTGCAGAGCGTAGGTTTTATCACACAAAATGGCGCTACTCAGTGGAGCTATCACTATGGGATATACATTTTTGAGACGATTTAGTTGAATCGTACAAAATGGCACGTTTTAGATAAAATATTGTATTATATATATTTAGGAAATGTAAGTGTATTATATAAAATAGGGTTTTTCCATAAGTTTTGGTATGAGTATAGGTTTGTTATAAGAAAAAATGTTGTTCAGATGAGCAGCAAAAGGACAATTTTATTTTATTGCAAAGTGTAGGTTTAACACCAAATATTTCAACAGCCAGTTAATAATATGCAATTTTTAATTGTACACTAATATACAACATAAAGCTTCTCTTTTGAGCTAATATTATAAGACATCTTTACTGGTAATTGTGAGTTTCAACATAAAATATGGCGTTCATTAAACACACATTATATTTATGGGGTGTCTGGACATAATTTGTAAGTTGTGTATGTAATCTTTGAAAACTATCAGTTCAGTCTTCTCTTATGTTTCTTTCACACTATCAAGTTTTATGTGCAAACATATGATTGATTACATATTTGGGAATGATGATTTATCTTACAAAAATGGGTGTAAATCACAGGTACTTGTCACTGAAACATGATACTGTGGATTGAGCCTTATAAATGAAAAAAGGAAAAGTGATACAACAAATTACATTCCTTCAGGTTACATTCCTTATTTATATATTTCTTAAGTATGAAAGATATATATATATTATATATATGGCATTCATTAAACACACATTGAGATTGTTTTATTATTTGTTTTATGCCTTAGTTCCTTTTACAAATTTTAGTGTTACATTTTAAAACTTTATATACTTGATTTTATATCTTGGTCTGTGTAATTCGGGATCGGCCGCTATCAAAGGTATGAATTGTTCACCTGTTGGCCTTTTCCCGTCACCGGCAATCTTTAATTCCATTGATATTTTATTGTATTTTTGCCTGTGTGAAGTCAAATAAATAAATAAATAGATATATATTTATTGAAGTTACACTCCTTGGATAGAGTCTGAAAGATTTCTCATTTAAGTAACACTCACTGAGTAGAGTGTAAAAGTTATGCTTGTTGGATAGAGTGTGAAATATATACTCATATACTGTGTTTGGTTAATTATATATCCAGACTTTGAATATGTACAATACTTTGTAACCACCGTAAATTAAGCCTATTTTTCTATAAAATCGCTACACTGTCGCTACAGTGTCTTCAATGAAATCGTTGTTGCTACACAGCAGCCCGCCACGCAATCATGAAGGCTCTCCAATTTGACTGACCAATCAGCATCACTGAAAGCATTCAGCGATAGCATGTAGTGACTGTACAGAAACCAAGCTTAGCACAACATAAACAAATATACGAATGAAACAAACAATAAAAAGGTCAGCTTACCTCTACTTCTAATAATTCTTCAAACCGTTCTAAGAATTCTATCATGTCTCTATTACTTTCAAAATCATTGTAATGATTATTAACCCATAGTAAAACAACTCTAGTGACCTGCATGCAAAGAAAATAGCCAATTATTTTTCAATAAGTCATCGTCAAATTCAAACCTCAAAACATGTAGTATACATCATGGTTAATAACATGGCTTAGTGATTAGAAGTGATTGTGTATCTAGTTTCATGGAAAGGGACTACTGATCACATGACTTCTCATCTAAACCATAAAATAAATCACCATATTTCTGATTATGTTACCATTACAAATATTTATGACATCAATAAAAATATGAAACCAAAACATAAGTAAATGATCATAGGGGCTTATAGACGATGTGAATAGTACAAGCAATTATATTTAATTAGATATTTTTTTAAATGTTAAAAAAAACAAAAAACCACCTTATTAGGTGAATTTTCTTTCTCAGGCTTGATTAAGTTAATAAAGTAAATTATATACCAAAGTTTTTCAGGTATAAATCCAATCACTCGAACACAAATTGAGCTAATTTTGGAAGTGGTTGTACAAAATAAACCTGCAGACCCATCTAGGGTAGCCAAGGCCTCACAAAAAGTCAAGCCAAGACCCTTCACCTCACAAAGTGAGAATTTATATTTTAAACCTTTAAAGTTGTGTTTAAGGTTGTGGGTAGACAATTTAGCATTAAAATTCCTAAAAAGTTAGGAGATTCTCATATATCTAGGGTGGTTTACTAAAGGTTTACTAAAATACTAACCCTGTCACGAAGGTCTGGTTCATGGAACCAACTTAGCAGCCGATTATACACAGGGCTTGGAGTCTTCAGGAAAGTTCTATATGTCATCAGAAAGTCTTCTACAAAGGTTGGATCCACTGGGGAGTGATCGTCAATAAGATGATGTATAAGACGATCGTTGGTTGCCTGTGGAGAAAATTTTCAAAAAATTGAAAATAAGGCACGGATATCGTTTTAATTTCATCAGTCAAGTTTTAATCAATACAGTAATGATAAAAATCAAATCTCTAGGCGAGGATTATGGAAATTAATAATGCTTTATAACTGAGGATGTCAAGAGAGATCCATTTGAGAAAGGAATAATAAATAAAAGCTAATGATGATTGTTTTGATGGATTAATCTATTGACGAGTTATAATGAGCACCAGCGTCATCAAACTGAACCAAGATCCAGGTACCTTAGGATTTGCCAGGTCAACCAAATAAATCATGCTTTTATTACGTATGCATCATAGGAATGGATTTCCAAAAAAAAAAGTCTTATATAATTGTATTTTGCTTAAGAGCTTACATAAATGCCTTTTGAATAATACTGCAATACGTGAGATATCATTTATCATAAACATTTTACAATTTTCATTATTTATTATTATTGATTTTTATAAGAAAAATTATTTTATTTTCATTAAAATTTCTTATCAATAAATCCATTGATGTTGCAAATGAAATTATTACTTTTGTATCAGTTCTTTGTAACAAACACCTGTAATTTGCCCATATATGTGTGATGACAAAAACATGTCCATATATGGTCAAATTTTTATTTGTTTACATACCTGATTATTGACCAATCTTAAACTACTTTTTCAAAGTGTTGTTTAGCATGCATAGCATACTGGTACCTCACTGGAAACTAATCTTTTATTTTTTAGTATTCATTGGGTCATCTCAAATCTGTACTGCTGTTTCTTATATTGTGTTGATGAATATGATGGATTCGAAATAAAAACTAACTACGATAAAAAAAAAACAGATTATAAACAACAAGAAATCTTTCAAAGTTTACCTTGATCACAACATGTCCTTGTCGTCTCTCATCTAAGATACGATGCTCTGTTACCATGACAACCGTACCATTCTCTTCAATTCTCCTAATATTCTCCTCTCCTTGAGTAAGGATGTGGAAATAATCCTCCTGAGTAATACACACAAACTGACAGTCATCAACCTGTGTCCGCATCACCCCTCGATGCACCTGTTTTTCTAAAGTGGGCTTCACTCCAAAACTGTGAAAAAAAATTCATTTAATATGAGCCATTGTATAACCATGAGACTAGTACTGCTTTTCCAACAGGTTCTTGTAATCTCGAAAGCTCCGATGAGGGCAGTAAAATAGAGGCAGTAGAGCTAAAAAAGATCTATTTATCAATCAACTATTAATCAATCAACTGAGTGTTTTTAGAGCTCCTCATGAGGGTAGTATAATAGAGGCAATAGAGCTAAAAAAAATCTATTAATCAATCAACTATTAATAAATCAGCCATACGAGGGCAGTATAATAGAGGCAGTAGAGCTAAAAAAGATCTATTAATCAATCAACTGAGTGTTTCTAGAGCTCTTTTTCTGAGCTAAAAAGCACTTTACACTAATTTATCCTTAAAATTAGTATTGTTCAGTTTGTTTCTGACTATTAGCTTCTTTGCAGGAGCTTGGTGGTTAAGAACCTTGTTTTTCAAGCTCAGGGTCCCAGGTACAAGTCATGTTAGCCACTGGGATTTCCCCTTACAACTAAAGACATATCCATCCCATAAGCCTCAAAAAGGATCTTCCTTTATAGAGTATCAATTTATTTATTAAAGAAGTGCCCTGAATATTAGTTGACCCTCGTGGTTAAACTGAGAAAAGCCACTCTGTAGTAAATGATTTTTTCTTAACTTGTATCTGGTGGAGAAGAGTAACTCTCTATAATTTGTTTTTTAAACTTGAATCTGGTAAGGTGTTGAAATTAATAATAAGCAATTAGTGATAATTTATTAATAACCTTGTAAAGATAATGAATTGCTTTTTTCCAACAAACTTCATTCAAACACACACAATAGGTAATGGACCGAAAAGCACTATGTCCATTTACATCAGTTGACAATAAAAAGGAGGTGTTTGCAAGAATTTCAATAATTAAAATTTAGTACTGAAAAAAGGGGTTCACGGTCAATAGAGAAATTGTTCTCTACTGACAACTGTGCTCAGTAGAGAGCAATAGCAATTAAAAAAATAAAATCTTTTTACATGGATATTAATGAATATCTCATTTAAAGATAGCATTTTTTTTTGTTTTAAGTTCGAGGAACTTTATAAATCCTGTCAATATTCCACCATAAATAATTTATCATTCACCAAACTTGATATACAAGAGTTTAGAAAGGTTCTTTCCATTTTGATGAAAGTTCACTGCTATCTTGTTACTTCTTTAGCTAATGCAATATTTTATGTTTTGCTACAAGATATCCAACCAGGGATCATTTTTCTCATCATATTAGTACTTTGAGACTGTAAGTACACTGTACTAAAGTACTACTTGTGCAGTTCTTCATAGGTACTGAACATGATGATGGCCAATGGTTATCTAGATGTAATGCATTATTTCAGGATGTTTAAATTTGAGCAACTATAGATGGATGATATATTATTACATCAACCTGTGGTAAAACTACTACAAAAATTAATTGGATATGGAGTTATTTATAGAGAAGGTTGTAAAAGAGTGGGAAAGTGTTCAGGACTGGAAATAATAACTAAACCAGGTGGAATTCCAAAGCTTTGGGCATAGATGGCTCAATACACATAATAATTAGATACACACAAGTTTCTTTCATTTGTTATATTTTAACTTATGCTTTGAAATGATACATAATTTGAAAGTATATATTAATAATCATGTGAGTGTCAATCATAGGAGTAATGTGTATATATA